TTATGATTCTCACAACGTGACCCGGTGGGAAAAAAACGCTCGGAAGGAGCGCTTCTAGCCTCAAAACGCGCAGTGATCCGCACATGTGGAGGGAGTGCAGCGGGCGCTCTTCATTTGCGAGCGCCGATTATTAATGATGCCCGCAACCCTCCCACGCCCTTGCTGGCTTGGCAATACGCCCAGACAAGCGCAGCCACGTGATCCGGTGGGAGAAAAACGCTCGGAACGAGCGCTTCAAGCCTCAAAACGCGGAAGGATCCACACATGTGCAGGAAGTGCAGCAGGCGCCCTTCATTCCCGAGCGCCGATGACCAATGATGCTCGCAACCCTCCCACACCCTTGTTAGCTTACCAATAGGCCCAGACAAGCGCAGCCACGTGACCCGGTGGAAGAAACATGCTCGTAACGAGCGCTTCCAACCTCAAAACACGCAATGATCTACACATGTGGAGGAAGTGCAGCGGGCGCTCTTCATTCGCGAGCGCCGATGACCAATGATGCTCGCAAACCTCCCATGCCCTTGCTGGCTTGGCAATAGGCCAAGACAAGTGCAGCCACGTGGTGGAAGAAAAACGCTCGGAACGAGCGCTTCTAGCCTCAAAACACGAAAGGATCCGCACATGAGGGGGAGTTGCAGCGGGCGCTCTTCATTCGCGAGCGCCAGTTGCTAATGATGCTCGCAACCCTCCCACGCACTTGCTGGCTTGGCAATAGGCCTAGACAAGCGCAGCCGCGTGACCCGGTGGAAGAAAAATGCTCGGAGCAAGCGCTTCTAGCCTCAAAACACGCAAGGATCCACACATGTGCAGGAAGTGCAGCGGGCGCTCTTCATTCGCGAGCGCCGATGACCAATGATGCTCGCAACCCTCCCATGCCCTTGCTCGCTTGGCAATAGGCCCCGAAAAGGGCAGCCACATGACCCGATGGAAGAAAAACGCTCGGAACGAGCGCTTCCACCCTTAAAATGCACAAGAACCCGCACATGTGGATGAAGTGCGGCGAGCGCTCTTCATTCGCGAGCGCCGATGACTAATGATGCTCGCAACCCTCCCACGCCCTTACTCGCTTGGAAATAGGTTCAGAGAAGCGCAGCCACGTGACCCGGTGGGAGAAAATCGCTCGTAACGAGCGCTTCTAGCCTCGAAACGCGGAAGGGATCCGCACATGTGCAGGAAGTGCAGCAGGCGCTCTTCATTCGCGAGCGCCGATGACCAATAATGCTCGCAACCCTCCCACGCCCTTGCTGGCTTGGCAATAGGCCCAGACAAGCGCAGCCACATGACCCGGTGGGAGAAAAACACTCGGAACGAGCGCTTCCAACCTCAAAACGCGAAGGGATCTTTACATGTGCAGGAAGTGCATCGGGCGCTCTTCATTCGCGAGCCCCAAAGACACATGTTGCTCGCAACCCTCCCACGCCCTTGGTGGCTTGGCAGTAGGCCGAGACAAGCGCATCCTCATGACCCGGTGGAAGAAAAGCGCTAGGAACGAGCGCTTCCAACCTCAAAACGCGCAAGGATCCGCATTTGTGGAGGAAAAGTTGTGGGCGCTCTTCATTCGCGAGCGCCGATGACCAATGATGCTCGTAACCCTCCCACGCCCTTGTGAAGAAATGAGGAATGAAATGAACTAGCAAGCAGGTGGGTAAAGTAGGAAAACCTAGAAGTGTTGTACCCCATATTGTCTACCCCACTACAGCCTACACAGACTATAGTATATGAGTTTGACAGCCCTTGCTGGCTTGGCAATAGGCCGAGACAAGCGCAGCCACATGACCCGGTGGAAGAAAAATGATCGTAACGAGCGCTTCTAGCCTCAAATCGCGCAAGGGTCCACACATGTGCAGGAAGTGCTGCGGGCGCTCTTCAGACGCGAGCGCCGATGGCCAATGATGCTCGCAACCCTCCTACGCCCTTGCTGGCTTGGCAATGTGCCCAGACAAGCGCAGCCACGGGACACGGCTTAAGAAAACCCTTGTAACGAGCGCTTCCAACCTCCGAACACGCAAGGATCCACACATATGGAGGCAATGCAGCGGGGGATCTTCATTCACGAGCGCCGATGACCAATGATGCTCGCAACCTTCCCACGCCCATGCTGGCTTGACAATATGCCCACACAAGCGCAGCCACGGGACGCGGTGGAAGAAAAACGCTCGGAACGAGTGCTTCCACCCTCAAAACGCGCAAGGATCTGCACATGTGGAGGAAGTGCGGCGGGCGCTCTTCATTCGCGAGCGCCGATGTCTAATGATGCTCGCAACCCTCCCACGCCCTTGCTGGCTTGGCAATAGGCCCAGAGAAGCGCAGCCACGTGACCCGGTGGGAGAAAAACACTCGGAACGAGCGCTTCTAGCCTCAAAACGCGAAAGGGATCCGCACATGTGCAGGAAGTTCAGCAGGCGTTCTCCATTCGCGAGCGCCGATGACCAATGATGCTCACAACCCTCCCACGCCCTTGCTGGCTTGGCAATAGGCCCAGGAAAGCGCAGCCACGTGACTCGGTGGAAGAAAAACGCTGGGAACGAGCTCTTCCAGCCTCAAAACGCGCAAGGATCCGCACATGTGGAGAAAGTGCAACGAGCGCTTTTCATTCGCGAGCGCCGATGACTAATGATGCTTGCAACCCTCCCACGCCCTTACTGGCTTGGAAATAGGTTCAGAGAAGCGCAGCTTCGTGACCTAGTGGAAGAAATTCGCTCGAAACGAGCGCTTCTAGCCTCACTACGCATAATGATCTGCACATGCAGGAAGTTCAGCGGGCGCTCTTCATTCGCGAGCACCGATGACCAATTATGCTCGGAACCCTGTCGAAACAGCATGCTAAAACGATAAACATGAAAGAGGGGTTTTCACTAGCAGCAGTTGAGATACATATAGGAACCCTAATTGGGTTGTACTCGCTATAGAGTACCCCACTGCAGGCTAGACAAACATCGACATTCTTACAAACCCTCCCGCGCCCTTGCTGGCTTGGCAATAGGCCCAGACAAGCACAGCCACGTGACCTAGTGGAAGAAAATGCTCGGAACGAGCGCTTTCACCCTCAAAACGCGCTAGGATCCGCACATATGGAGAAAGTGCGGCGGGCGCTCTTCATTTGCGAGTGCCAATGACTAATGATGCTCACAACCCTCCCACACCCTTGCTGGCTTTGCAATTGGCCCAAAGAAGCGCAACCACGTGACGCGGTGGGAGAAAAATGCTCGGAACGAGCGCTTCTAGCCTCAAAACGTGCAAGGTTCCACACATGTGTAGGATGTTTAGCGGGCGCTCTTCATTCGCGAGCGCCGATGACCAATGATGCTCGCAACCCTCCCACGCCCTTACTGGCTTGGCAATAGGCCCAAACAAGCGCAGCCAAATGACCCTGTGGAAGAAAAACGCTCGTAACGAACGCTTCCACCCTCAAAACGCGCAAGGATCCGCACATGTTGAGGAAGTGCGGCGGGCGCTCTTTATTTGCAAGCGCCATTGACTTATGATGCTCACAACCCTCCCACGCCCTTGCTGGCTTTGCAATAGGCCCAGAGAAGCGCAGCCACGGAACCCGGTGGAAGAGTAGCAATCGGAACGAGCGAAAGGGATCCGCACATATACAGGACGTGCAGCAGGCACTCTTCGTTCGCGAGCGCCGATGACTAATGATGCTCGCAACCCTCCCACGCCCTTGCTGGCTTGGTAATAGGCCCAGAGAAGCGCAGCTACCTGACCCGGTGGAAGAGAAACGCTCGGAACGAATGCTTCCAACCTCAAAATGCGCAAGGATCCGCACATGTGGAGGAAGTGCAATGGGCGCTCTTCATTCGCGGGCGCCGATGACCAATGATGCTCGCAACCCTCCCACGTCCTTGCTGGCTTGGCAATAGGCCTAGACATGCATCTAGAGGTTGCAGGCGCTGCCACGGTTTTACCCATGCGAGGCGGACACCTTTGAGCTGGTGAGCGAACGTATGCGACCGTTTTCGGAGCTATGTGTGAGGACAAGAACATAGCAGAGGAGGGACTTTGGAGGAGCGGGGACGATGGATCAGCACGAATATTTGAAATGGGGTATAACAGCTGCTAGCGTAGGTGCGGCAGGTGGAAGTGCAACTGCGAAGGCGTGGCAGCAACAGGCACGACAACTGCAGTTGTGGAAGCAGCAAGCAGTAGCTGCAGGCACCGAAACAGCGGGGTCGATGGGGCAATGCGGGAGTGGGCCGACGGGGCCGGCAGGGTCGATTCTAGGGCTCAACAGGGGCCGCTGCTTGGGTCACGAAAAGGCCGTTCCTGGGGCGCGACGAGTCTACAGGAGGGTGCGATGGAGCTGATGAAGCGCTGCGCATATCTCGCTGTCGCCACGAGGCAAGCAGGGCCTGCGTGGCAAGTCAGTGCGGCAGCGACGATGGAATCGTGGTACTGTACGACGAGGTTAGCGAGGCAGGCGCCATATTTGGATCGTAGTGGCGTAAGCCTAAGGCCTTGATACCATGTCAAAATTGTGCTTTGCTTAGTAGCTTAGGAGCTAGGCTAGAGCGAGGTCGAGAAAGTTAAGAAGGAAGGGGGTTTGACTATGGAGGCAGGAAGAGGTACACCACCAACAGATTGTTAAGAGTAACAACGACTTTTAGGGGGTAGGAGAAGGTGGAATTGAAAAGCAGGATAGGTTATGGATCTCAGGGTGTGGAACATTGTTGTTCAAAACACCGTTGAAGACAACATCGTTCAAGAGTACCGCACTGCGCAATTCGTAAATGCTAAAAAAAATCAACAAAACCGTTATGAAACACATGGTTTCCTGGACAATTCGTTCATCTGGTTTTGAACTTTACACACATTCTTTCATTGTCGTGCTCAATACGCCGATTGTGGGGATCGAACCCACGGCCACGTGGTTAAAAGCCACGCGCTCTACCACTGAGCTAAATCGGCACGCAATCCACGTGAACGGATAATTATGGAGCAAATTAAGAATGAAACCTATGATGAAACATGTTTTGTGATCTCTCCTTGACACCATGGCACGTTCAGACGTTGTTCCTGGAGGACGCGCGGGGAAGGCGATGGCAGCCGCTGCTGCCGCCGCGGGTGGCGGCGGTGGCTCGTCCGTGTCGTTGCAGGACGCGGATAAGAAGAGTCATCGCGCAGCGCGGTCAGGGCCGGCGGCGGAGCGCAAGAAGGAGAAGGATAAGAAGAAACGCGGCGTGGACGACGACGCGGAGGAACGCGAGAACCCGCGCGTAAGCACCAACTTGTTAGCTAAGAGGGAGATTTTGGGTTTAGAAGGAGAAAGATAAGAAGAAACGCGGCGTGGACGACGACGCGGAGGAACGCGAGAACTCCCGAGTAAGCACCTAAGCAGCTACCTCAGGGACACGTGCATTAGTACCTCGAAGCATGCGAGGAGGAATAGAATCAGGTTTGATAGCATCATGCGGAGTGAGGACGGATAAGAGCTCGCGAGTGCTCGCGAGTAAGACGATTCCAGGCTTAGTCGAAGACTGGAATAGACTTATGTCGGGGTAGTATGTTATAACCCGGGGTTCGTATGCTCAGCCCAGGAGAGAGAGAGGGTTCGATTTACCTTGTGATTACGTGCCACGCCCCGCGATGGCTACGTCGCAACGTTCGTCCTTATGTGTTCGTGTCTACCACAAGCAACCTGGCTACTACAGATGGAAGTTGCCTCGTGCTTAAACCTTGTACCCTGTACCCTGAGTTTTCAACTCCGCAGCAGACACCGTTTGACCTTCTGTTTGCTGCTGGCTCTCGCTTAAACCTGCCTGGCGTTTACATTTTCGCTCGCTCGTCGCGCCGCCGAGTGAAGCTGCAGATTGCGAGGCGGGGGAGCTGCAGCAGCAGCAGCAGCTGCGCCTTCCCTTCCCTCCTTTCTACCCTGGTGTCCTAAAGCTTTGTATCCTCTCTCTCCCTCCCCTCCCCTCATGTCCGCTCCCTCTCCCCTGTAACTCTTCCCCACCTGCCAGGCGTTTGCTTTCCGCTCGTCGCGTCGAGCCAAGCTACAGGTGGCGAGGCGGGTGGAGCTGCAGCAGCGGCGCATGCACGCGCCCAGTGCTGCTGCCACACGCGCACAGGCGCTGGAACCACCTCCGTTCGTGGTGCTTGTGCAGGGTCCTCCCAAGGTGAGAATAAGGGACGCGCATGCACGCGCCCAGTGCCGCTGCCACGCGCGCACAGGCATTGGAACCACCTCCTTTCGTGGTGCTGGTGCAGGGTCCTCCCAAGGTGAGTGATTTGCTGTGGTGTTTGTTGTGTGTGAGAGTGTGTTTATGAAAGGCTGTGGTGCACATGCAGCAGCGGCGCATGCATGCATGCGCCCAGCGCTGCTGCCACGCGCGCACAGGCACTGGAACCACCACCGTTCGTGGTGCTGGTGCAGGGTCCCCCAAGGTGAGTGGTTGCTCGAGTGCATCTACGTGCCAAGTCTGCTTTTGAGTCGACTCAAAAAGCATGGTTGCTCGAGTGCATCGCATCCACGTGCCAAGTGCTGCTGCCACGGACATGCATTGGAGGCACTACGCATGGTCAAGTCAAGAACCCTGTAACGGTTACGGTTGTCTCTCTTTGGTGCTTGGTTGGAGTCGCGTCAAGAGCTGCCACGGGCTGGCAGTGGAGGCATTATCCTAGCTACATTGAAATCACTTTTGAGAATTCTCAAAAGCAAAAGCTGCCGCGGGCTGGCAGGGGAGGCATTATGCTAGCTATATTGAAATCACTTTTGAGAATTCTCAAAAGCAGAAGCTGCCACGGGCTGGCAGTGGAGGCACTACCGCTCGCTAGAGACAAGAGCCTTGTATCTGTTGTCTCTGGATTTGAGACGCCCTGAAACTCATTCATATCCTTTCTCTGTGTTCTAATCCGCCCCTGTATGGCAGGTGGGCAAGACGACGCTCATCCGCTCGCTGATAAAGCACTACACCAAGAACAACATTCCAGACGTTAAGGGACCCATCACTGTCGTCTCAGGTGGGTTGTCACACCTCAAGAATCGTTGGCTGCTGTTTGTAGAGTGCGGAAGCAACGTGCATGCCATGTTGGATGCGGGCATGCTTGCTACATTGCCCCCGGTTCCCTGCCTCATTCTGCCGTTTTACCACCTTTCCCTCCCAATACTCGGGAAAGAAGCGGCGCCTGCTGTTCATAGAGTGCAGCGGCATTGTGAGGGAAAGCAACGTGCATGCCATGTTGGATGCGGGCATGCTTGCTACCATACCATGCTCGATGCTCTTACCCGTCCTACCTTCTCCTCCTCACGCCCTCTCTCCCACTTACCCCTCCAGGCAAGAAGCGGCGGCTGCTCTTCATTGAGTGCAGCGGCAGCGTGCACGCCATGCTCGATGCGGCCAAGTTTGCAGACCTCGTGCTGCTGCTCATCGATGGCAGCTTCGGCTTCGAGATGGTGCGTGTACACGCGCGCGCGCGCGTGTGTGTGTGTGTGTGTGTGTGTGCGCGCGCGCGTGTGTGCGTGCGTGCGTGTGCTGCCTGTGGGTGGTGTGAGAGACTGTGCAGACCTGGTGCGGCTGCTGATTGACAGTTTTTTAGGCGCCTCAAAAATCGTGCTGCTGCTGATTGACGGCAGCTGCGGCTTTGAAATGGAGGGTGGTGTGCACGGGTGCATGTACGTGTGTGTGAGCGCATGTCCGTGTGTGTGAGCGCATGTCCGTGTGTGTGAGCGCATGTCCGTGTGTGTGAGTGCATGTCCGTGTGTGTGAGCGCATGTCCGTGTGTGTGAGCGCATGTCCGTGTGTGTGAGCGCATGTCCGTGTGTGTGAGCGCATGTCCGTGTGTGTGAGCGCATGTCCGTGTGTGTGAGCGCATGTCCGTGTGTGTGAGCGCATGTCCGTGTGTGTGAGTGCATGTCCGTGTGTGTGAGCGCATGTCCGTGTGTGTGAGCGCATGTCCGTGTGTGTGAGCGCATGTCCGTGTGTGTGAGCGCATGTACGTGTGTGTGAGTGCATGTACGTGTGTGTGAGTGCATGTCCGTGTGTGTGAGTGCATGTCCGTGTGTGTGAGTGCATGTCCGTGTGTGTGAGTGCATGTCCGTGTGTGTGAGTGCATGTCCGTGTGTGTGAGCGCATGTCCGTGTGTGTGAGTGCATGTCCGTGTGCTTGCTGTGGTGTGGGTTGTAGGGGTGTCTAAGACCTCGTGCTGCTGCTCTTCGATGGTAGCTCTGGCTTTGAGGCTATTCCTCTTCCTCTCGCTCTCTGTCCCCCTTTCCCTTACAGGAGAGACCTTCGAGTTCCTGAGCATGCTACAGGTGCACGGCTTCCCCAAGGTCATGGGCAAACAGAAGTGTTTTGAGACGTCTCAAAACACTTCCGTTTACACGTCGTCATGGGCGTGACTTTTGAGAATTCTCAAAAGTGATCCCCAAGGTCATGGGCGTGCTGATCCTCCCACCACACCCCAACCTGGCGCCCTCTGCTTCCCTCACCCGTTCACTCCATTCTCTCCTCACTCTTCCCTCACCTCCCCACCATCACAGGAGACCTTTGAGGTCCTGAGCATGCTGCAGGTGCACGGCTTCCCCAACGTCATGGGCGTGCTGACGTTTCCCATTCAACTCGTGGTCTCTGCATTCCCATCCCAACCCATCCCTCTTACCCCAAAACTCTGTCTCTTTCTGTCTCTCTCTGTCCCCACCATCTCAGGAGACCTTTGAGTTCCTGAACATGCTGCAGGTGCACGGCTTCCCCAAGGTCATGGGCGTGTTGACGCACCTGGATAGCTTGAGAGACCCGCGCAAGCTTGTTTACTTACCTTCCCGACTCCTTTCCCCGTCCCCTCTCTCTCTGTCCCATCATGCCCTCCTCCCTTCTCCCCTCTCCACCCTCCCGCCCTCATCACTTACAGGAGACCTTTGAGTTTCTGAACATGCTGCAGGTGCACGGCTTTCCCAAGGTCATGGGCGTGCTGACGCACCTGGACGGCTTCAGAGACCCGCGCAAGCTCAAGAAGACCAAGAAGACGCTCAAGCACCGCTTCTGGACCGAGATTTACGATGGAGCAAAGTTGTTCTACCTCTCGGGGCTCATTCACGGCAGGTGAGTGCCACCAGGGGTTTCTATCATTACTCATGGGTTGTGCGTGCATGTATGTTCGAGAGGGGTCACAGGAGCAAGCTCAGGAACACCAAGAAGACCCTCAAGCACCGCTTGTGGACCGAGATCTACGATCCAGATTTTCAAGCAAACATTTTAACTAACAAACTTTTTTACAAGTTGAATCAGTCGCAGCCACGTAAAGACATGGCTCCTATCTGGGGCTCCATTGGACCCTCAAGCACCGCTTGTGGACCGAGATCTTCGATGGAGCCAAGCTGTTCTTTCTACTTGTCAGGGCTCATTCACGGCAGGTGAGGCTCGGTATGCATGTTTGAGAGGGCATCACAGCAGCAAGCTGAAGAAGACCAAGGGGAGACTCAAGCACTGCTTCTGAGCGGAGACCTACAACGGGCCCAAGCTGTTCCACCACTCGGCTGATGAGTCTCCTTGGCCTCTCTCTCGGCCGATGAGTCTCCTTGGCCTCTCTCTCGGCCGATGAGTCTCCTTGGCCTCTCTCTCGGCCGATGATTCTCCTTGGCCTCTCTCTCGGTCGATGAGTCTCCTTGGCCTCTCTCTCGGCCGATGAGTCTCCTTGGCCTCTCTCTCGGCAGATGAATCTGGCTCGGTTTGTTTCAGTCTCCAAGTTCAGGCCTCTGTCCTGGCGAACTGCTCATGGCTACGTGGTGGCCGATCGGGTGGAAGATCTCAACTTCTTGTCCCCCGCTCATTCATACAACCCTCAGGTGCCCCAAGCGGGAGCTGCTGAATCTGGCGCGCTTCATCTCAGTCGCCAAGTTCCGCCCGCTCTCCTGGTGAACAGCTCCCGGCTACGTGGTGGCTGACCGGGTGGAATGAGGTGAAGTCAAGGGCCTGGCTGCTCTGCCTGTGCCCCCTCTGCTCACTCACCTTTTCCACTTCTCCCTCCTTACCCTGCTGCTGGACTCGTATCCCCGCGCCCTCCTGCCATACCACTTGCAGGTACCCCAAGCGCGAGGTGCTGAATCTAGCTCGGTTCATTTCAGTTGCCAAGTTCCGTCCCCTCTCCTGGAGAACAGCCCATGGCTATGTGGTGGCTGATCGGGTGGAAGATCTGACGGAGACGGAGGATGTTCGGAGAAACCCTAAATGTGATCGGACGGTCGCGATTTACGGTTACTTGCGCGGTTGCAATCTGAAGCAGGGCTTTAAGGTGCATATTGCTGGGGTGGGTGACGTGGCAGTGGAGAGTATTACGCAGCTGCCCGACCCTTGCCCGCTGCCCGACGCGAAAAAGAAGCGGAGTTTGAACGAGCGGGAGAAGCTGCTTTATGCGCCGATGGCTGATATAGGGGATATACTGTACGATAAAGATGCGGTTTATATTAATATTCCGGATCATCAGGTGCAGTATTCTAAGGTTGAGGAGAAGGAAAGAGGAGGAGGGAAAGAGGAGGACGAGGAGTGGTCAGATGAGGGAGAGGGGGGTGTGGGGGGGAAAAGAGAGGAAGATGATGAGGAGGAGGAGGATGAAGAGGAGGAGGGGGAGGGGGAAGGGAAAGGAGGGAAAGGGAAGGGGGGAGGTGGAAAGCAGAAGGATGAGGGAGAGGAGATGGTGAAAACGCTGCAGGCTGCTGACGTGGCAGTTGATGATAAGCTGAAATCGAGTGCGATCTCGCTGTTCAAATGGACGGCCCCGATTCGAGATGTGAGCGAGGTGGAGGGCGGGAGAGAGGAGGAGATGGGTGGGGTGGAGGAGGATGGAGTGGGGAGTGATGAGGATGAGAGCGAGGGAGAGGAACAGGAGGATGAGGGAGAGGAGGGGGAGGAGGAAACGGGACTGAAGGAGGAAAGGAGGAGGGATTCGAAGGGAAGGATGAGGCGTGCTGTAGTGTTTGGTGGTGATGATGCTGAGGAGGAGGACGAGGAGGAGGAGGAAGATGAGGAGGAGGATGAGGATGATGGAGAGGAGGAGGAAGAGGGGTGGGAGCTAGAAGAGGAAGGAAAGGAGGGAGGTGCAATGGAGGAGGAAGATGAAATGGATGAGGAAATGGAAGAGGAGGAGGAAGAAGATGAAGACGAAGAGGAGGAGGAGGAGGATGAGGAGGATGGTGTGAAAGAGCCAACGAGGCAGCAGCTAGAGAAGTGGGCTGATAGGGAGGCCGTGGAAAATGAGGGAACAGACTCTGAGGAAGATGAGGATGATGGGGAGGATGAGGAGGAGGAGGAGGAGGAGGAGGAGGAGGAGGAGGAGGAGGAGGAGGAGGAGGAGGAGGAGGAGGAGGAGGAGGACGGTGAAGAGGAGGAAGGAGGGAAGGTAGTGGGATTGAAAAAAGATGTTTTGCAGGTCGAGAAAGGGGAGGCTGCGGCCAAGTGGAAGGAAGGCTTGGCTTCTTGGGCAGCCAAAATGTTTTCGAGAAAGCTGAGCCTGATGGAGCTGGTTTACGGGCAGAAGGGCGGCGGTGGCATGAAAGGAAAAGGAAAAGGCTTTGGGATAGGAGCTAGTGGTGAGGGAAGTGAGGAGGAGGAGGATGAGGAGCAGGAAGAGGAGGAAGAGGAGCTTTTTCGGCCAAGGAGGAAGCAGCAGGACGGGTCTTCCTCCGCTTCCCAAGCTGCACTCACTGATGATATAGATGCGGAGGACTGTGTGCGAGTGCGTCCAGATGCATTGAACCTGGCGCAGTGGGACGATCCCGAGGTGGTCGAATCCCTCAGGGACCGGTTTGTGACTGGGAACTGGTCCAAAGCGGGTGAGAGGCGGCGCAAGGGGGGAGCTAAGGGGAAGAAAGGCGGGGGAGAGGACGGGGGGAGTGATGGGGAGGAGGATGGGGATGGGGAGGAGGATGAGGAGGATGATGTGTTTGGCGATTTTGAGGATCTTGAGACTGGGGAGAAATTTGGACCTGGGGGGAAAGGGGAGGGGGGAGGTGGGGGAGCAGGAGCAGGAGGGGGAGGAGGGGGAGGGAGGATGAGTGAGGAGGAGAGGGAGAAGGCAGAGGCAGAGGAGAGGCGGCTGAAGAAGCTTGCTTTGCGTGCCAACTTTGATTCCAAATATCCCTCTCACACGCCCTCTCTCACGCTTTCCTACCACCCCTTCCGTACTCATTCCAGAATCCGTATTTTAGTTTGTTGTCATGCACATCAGTTTATATTTCAGTGACACTCGCTCCTTTTGTTTCCGCAGTTCTCCTTTTTTTTTTTGTATCAAGGCCTTCTCAAATACGCCCGAATGGTGTTGACTCGCCTCACATAATCGTTTTTTTCCTTAACCATCTCCTTCCAACCAACCCCCCCTGTTACGGTCTCCTCCCTCTCCCCCATCTTCCTTCCCTCCCTTCCCTCCCTTCCCTCCCTTCCCTCCCTTCCCTCCCTTCCCTCCCTTCCTTCACCTCCTCCCTTCCTCTCGTCCTCTCTTACTCCCCTCTTCTCTCGACTGTGGTGTTTCTCTTTGCCTGACATCCAATCACGTCGAGAGGGGAGGAGGACGAGGAGGAGGGAGGGGAGGATGGGGAAGGGGAGGAGGGCGAAGGCAAGAAGTTTCCTGGAAGGGATCCGGAGGAGAAGGACTACATTGATATTGTGAGTGGCACTTGACTTGACTTGACTTGACTGGGCTTGACTTGACTTTACTTGATGTTATTGTTTGTGACTAGATGGAGGTGTGTTTCAGTTGACTAAGAATAGAGCGTCATCATGTATGTGTGTGACTATTTCGAGCAGGGAGAGTTACTGCTGCGGCTGAAAACGCTCCCTTTTCTTACTTCCCTCCGCCCGTTCTGCCCCTCCCCGCTTTTCCCCCACAATCCCTCCAGTTGAAGGAGCAGCTAGAGGCGAGGAAGCAGAGGACGGAGGCGGCTCTAGCGGAGGTGGACGAGGAGGCAGGCGGAGTGGTCCCGCAGGCTCAAGTGCCGTCTATGGTTCTCCGTCCTCTCCCTGTCTGCCCTCCAGTTGAAGGAGCAGCTGGAAGCGAGGAAGCAGAGGACGGAGGCGGCTCTAGCAGAGGTGGACGAGGCTACCCGCGTGGCAATGGAGGGCTTCCCCGTGGGCGGGTACCTGCGCCTGCTGTTCCGTGCACTGCCGGGAGAATTCATGCTGCACTTTGACCCGCGGGTTCCCGTGCTTGTGGGAGCAGTTCCACCCACGGAGGAAACGCTCGGATACCTGAGGGTGAGTGGCATGGCATGGGATGTACCAGGGAGAGGGGTGGGGGCGGGGGCGTACCTGTGCCTGCTGTTCCGTGCACTACCTGGAGAATTCATGCTGCATTTTTAACCCACGAGTGCCTGTTCTTGTCGGAGCTGTGCCTCCCACAGAGGAAACACTCGGATATCTGAGGGTGAGTGAGTGGGATGAATTGGGGAACCTGAGGGGCAAATGAGCTAGGGTGGGCTTCCCTGTGGGGGCGTACCTGTTCCACTCCCTGCCTGGGGAGTTCATGCTGCACTTTGACCCGCGGGTTCCTGTCCTTGTCGGAGCAGTTCCACCCACGGAGGAAACGCTGGGGTACTTGAGGGTGAACTTTGAGGCGCCTCGAAGGGGCGTACCCGCGTCTGTTGTTCCGCGCGCTGCAAGGCGAATTCACGATGCACTTTTGGCTCTGTCATCTGCTGCTGCCCTCTCCTTCCCCCTCCAGGTGCGGCTGAAGAAGCACCGGTGGCACCGGAAAGTCCTCAAGACGCGCGACCCCCTGGTCCTATCAGCAGGATGGCGGCGCTTCCAGTCCGTGCCCGTGTTCGCCATGGAGGATACCAACGGGCGACACAGACTCATCAAATACACACCCGAGCACATGCACTGCCTGGCCGTCATGTGGGCGCCGCTGCTGCCCCCGAATACTGGGCTGCTTGCGCTGTCGTCTGGTGCTGCCAGTGGTAGCAGCAAGCAGGTACGTGCTGTGACCTGTGCATGTCAGTGTACTGAGAGGCTCATCAAGTGCACCCCAGAGCACATGCACTGCCTTGGTGTCATGTGGGCGCTGCTGCTGCCTCCCAACACTGGTCTTCTGGCACTGTCGTCAGGTGCTGCTTCGGGCAACAGCAAGCAGGTACGCCTTGGGTCGAGGCATGTCGGTGAGAGCAAGCAGGTGCTGATTGATTTGCCATGAAGGACAGCAATGGGTGGCACTCCCCAGAGCACATGAACTGCCTGGCTGTCATGCGGGCGCCATTGCTGCCTCCCAAATTGCATTCTACCCAGGCGTCCATTCTACCCAGGCGTCCATTCTACCCAGGCGTCCATTCTGCCCAGGCGTCCATTCTACCCTGGCGTCCATTCTACCCAGGCGTCCATTCTACCCAGGCGTCCATTCTACCCAGGCGTCCATTCTACCCAGGCGTCCATTCTACCCAGGCGTCCATTCTACCCAGGCGTCCATTCTACCCAGGCGTCCATTCTACCCAGGCGTCCATTCTACCCAGGCGTCCATTCTGCCCAGGCGTCCATTCTACCCAGGCGTCCATTCTACCCAGTTGTCCATTCTACCCAGGCGTCCATTCTACCCAGGCGTCCATTCTACCCAGGCGTCCATTCTACCCAGGCGTCCATTCTACCCAGGCGTCCAATCTACCCAGGCGTCCATTCTACCCAGGCGTCCATTCTACCCAGGCGTCCATTCTACCCAGGCGTCCTTCCGAATCAGCGCCACGGGCGTGGTGTTGGAGCAGCAGCAGTCAGCGCAGGTGGTGAAAAAGCTCAAGCTGGTGGGCACACCCGTGAAGATCCCTCATGCCTCACCCGCTGTACCCCGTTCCACCGCATTACACCCCGTTCTACCCCATTCCACCACCTTTTTACCCAGGCGTCCTTCCGCATTAGCGCCACAGGAGTGGTGTTGGAGCAGCAGCAGTCAGCGCAGGTGGTGAAGAAGCTGAAGCTGGTGGGCACGCCCGTGAAGATCTTCCGTCACACCGCGTTCATCAAGGACATGTTCTCCTCCCAGCTCGAGGTGGCGCGATTCGAGGGGGCGGCTGTGCGGACCGTGTCGGGCATTCGCGGGCAGATTAAGAAGGTGCGTGCACTGTCGGTCGCGTTGTCACCCATCCTTGAAAGGTGAGGATCTTCTGTCACACCGCATTCATCAAGGACATGTTCTCCTCCCAGCTTGAAGTGGCGAGATTTGAAGGGGCAGCAGTGCGGACCGTCTCAGGCATCCGAGGGCAAATCAAGAAGGTACATCCTGGTCTGAATGGGTAATTCTCGGTTATGGGAGAGAGGTGGGTGGGCACGCCCGTAAAGATCTTCCGTCACGCCGCATTCATCAAGGACATGTTCTCCTCCCAGCTTGAAGTGGCACGGTTTGAGGGGGTGGCAGTCCGTACGGTATCCGGCATTCGCGGGCAGATCAAGAAGGTGCGTGTGGTGTGGGTGTGGTTCAACCGGCCATCACACCGCATTCATCAAGGACGTGTTCTCCTCCCAGCTCGAGGTGGCAAGAGTCGAAGGGGCGGCCGTTCGCACGGTGTCCGGCATTCGCGGGCAGATCAAGAAGGTGCGCACTGTTGCCTGTGCAGATCTAGTAGAAACCTGTTTCCTGTGGGTAACAGCAGGGGGGAATGGGGTGGTGGGTATAAGTACAGGAAACCCTAGACTGGAAGAAGCTCTAGCTGGTTCTCCCCCTCCCCTCTTCCCTCTCTCCTCCTCCCCCTCCCCCACCCCTCTCCCCTCCGCAACCTCCCCCACCCTTTCCTTTCTCCCTTTCCCCCCACCAGGCTCTGAAGCACGGGCAGGGACCTGAAGGACAGGCTCTGAAGCACGGGCAGGGACCTGAAGGACAGGCTCTGAAGCACGGGCAGGGACCTGAAGGACAGGCTCTGAAGCACGGGCAGGGACCTGAAGGACAGGCTCTGAAGCACGGGCAGGGACCTGAAGGACAGGCTCTGAAGCACGGGCAGGGACCTGAAGGACAGGCTCTGAAGCACGGGCAGGGACCTGAAGGACAGGCTCTGAAGCACGGGCAGGGACCTGAAGGACAGGCTCTGAAGCACGGGCAGGGACCTGAAGGACAGGCTCTGAAGCACGGGCAGGGGCCGGAGAGCAGCGTGCGATGCGACTTTGAGGACAAGATCCTGATGAGCGACATTGTCTTCCTGCGCGCCTGGGTCAAAGTCACTCTGCCCAAGCCACGCTGCTGTGGGGTGTCAATGGCATGGCGGTGTGTCAAGGTCACTCAGTGCCCCTCTCCTACCTCACTCTTCTACTTCCGCCTCCCCTTTTTCCCCTCTGCCCCGCCCCCTGCTCCCCCCTCCCCCCCTCCCCCTCCCCCCACCCCCCCAACACCAGGCTCTAAAACACGGGCAAGGCCCAGAAGGCAGCGTGCGATGCGCCTTTGAGGACAAGATTCTGATGAGCGACATTGTCTTCCTGCGCGCCTGGGTCAAGGTCACCGTGCCCAAGCTATACAACCCTGTCTGCACGCTGCTCCAATCAGCAAGCGCCACGTGGCAAGGCATGAAGACCGTGGCGGAGCTCAGGCGGGAGCAGCAGCTGCCCATCCCCGTTAACAAGGACTCCCTTTACAAGGTACTTTGCTCTTCACAAATGCTCCTGTAGTACAAGGTAGTGCAGTTCCTTTTGCATAAGATTCCAAAAATCTGTATTTTTCTCGAAGGAGAATATGCTGCTCATTCAGGACAGTTTTCTCGAAGTTTTGGAATGTTTCAAGAGTAATCGAAAAACATTCCGCTTGCATTCTGCTCGCTACCCCCCTCAACACCCGCAACCCCCTCTTCTTGTCTCCTAACCCCCTCTCATCTCGCTCAACCCCTCACAACGCATAGAAAGGCGCCCGCACTCCTTCAACCCCCTGAAGATGCTTCCACACATTCTGCCCTCAACCCCCCATCAACTCCTGTAACCCCCTCTCATCTCTCTCAACCCCTCACAGCCCATCGAGAGGCGCCCGCGCTCCTTCAACCCTCTCAAGATTCCCGCGAAGCTGCAGGCTGCTCTACCCTTCTCTTCCAAGCCTAAGGACGAGGCTCGGCGCACAACACCGAGCCTGGAGCAGCAGCGGCCGGCAGTGGTGATGGAGCCTCAGGAGAGGCGGCTGCACACTATGGTGCAGCAGCTCAACACCATCAAGAACCAAAAGGTACAGTAGTACGGTAACACATTAACACGGTAAGTATTTTATCGTCATGTTCTATACGGATGGTGATGGTATCATGATGGTAGTCTGTATGGTTGTTTTCTTTTATTAAAATGTAGTTTCCATTTTTTTGTTGTGCACTATTGTATTTCCTGTGCAGGTGAAGAAGCGGAGGGAGACGACGCGCAAGAAGCGAGCGGAGTATGAGAAGCGCAAGGCAGCAGACGAGGAGGAGCAGAAGTACAGGCGTCGTGAGGAGAAGAGGGAGAAGTACAGGAAGGAGGCAAAGAGGAAGTTTGGGGGTGGTAGGGGTGGGGATGATGATGGGGGGCAGCCTGGAAAGAGGGGTCGCGGGCTGCAAGCCGACTAACGTGTTTGTAAGGCCAGCATTGACCTTATTAGGTTAAGGTCGCTGTGTTCGAACTTTGATATGTTTGTGTGGGAAATTTTGTTTCTATCTTAATTTGCTGATTCAAATCGTCAATCAACCTACTATGCAAATGCAGCACTTAACAATTAAAGGATTTGAACGATGATGCTGATTATCATAGGTCAAACACCATCGACTGCACAATATGTTCTAGTGTGTGGTAAGTAACGAGGATGAGCGATTTCTTCATCAGCTGCGTTGGGTGGGTTCTTTCCGCCTCTCTGTTGCGCTGGCTCCCTCCGCTGGTTTGGCATATGAGTGCTTGGCTCTGCTGGCTCGGAATTTTCCTGAACGGCCGCGATTCGCCGCACTTCTGGGGATGTGTCACATCCAGCTTGTGCTATTCGCTCACCTTCGTTGAGTGCAGCTAATCTTGCCACGTATCCTGGTTACCCTGCTGACCATAGCTGGTTATCGTTATTTCCTCCACGTGACGCTCAGCTGGCTGTTTTGTATTGGCGACTCTTCCTCAGTTGCGGCGAGCTTACGAAGCAAGGCTGGGTGCAGTTCCGCCCGTGATTGCCGCTCGCGTCAGCGAAAGCAAGATGGAAGACAAATGCGGACAGGTGGGACGCGTTTCGACGACAGCGCATTTTCGCGGAGGCAACGCAGCGAAGCCAGGTGCGATTTCGCCGGGGCAGGAAGCTGGGGGAGGCCGTCTGTGAGTGAACGAACGACTCGCATCCTCAAATTTCCATCGCCACCGAAAACACGCAGCGCCTTGCTCTTCAGGGTCTAAGGATAAAAGGCGCTGGAACGCGTTCCAGAAACCTCACTACTACCAAGCTCACTCCCTCAAACAACCACTATCTCAGCTGTACATTGCCGGCGCTTTTCTCAAGTAGCGCATTTTCCTTACTGCTTCTCGCTCTCTCTTTCAAACGCGCAAGCCACATAGTTGAGGGAATTTCTTTGCTTCTATACCAAGGCTTAATTTGACCGTCGGCGGCCAGTCTATGGCCGTAGCCCGCGTGTACAGTCTGTTTGCTTCATCCCACGACAACAAGAACCAGCGATCGAGTTCGCCCTTCTCCAAGCGATTCGACCACTCCGTGCGCCCGCTCTCCGAACTTCGGTGCCGCTTAGAAGACCTCATACCGGACCAACGCGACCGCGTACGCAACTTAAAGACCAATTATGGCTCCGTGTCGCTCGGCGAAACGACCATCGACATGGCGCTTGGCGGAATGCGCGGAATTAAAGGCCTAATCTGGGAGCCTTCCATCCTCGACGCAGATCTTGGAATTAAATACCGCGGCCTGTCTATCCCCGACTGCCAGCACCTCCTCCCCTCCGCGATACCCGGCGGCGAGCCGCTTCCCGAGGCGCTCTTATGGCTCCTCATCACGGGGGAGGTTCCGACGTCGCTTCAGGCGGCGTCTATCACGGAGGAGCTGAGGCTGCGCGCGGCGAATGTGCCAGATCACGTGTTCACGGTGCTTCGTTCCCTCCCGAAGCATCTCCACCCAATGTCGCAGCTGTCTATTGGTGTAACGGCTCTTCAGTCCACCAGCGAGTTTGCTAAGGCTTATTCTTCCGGCTCCGTGCACAAGACTCGTTACTGGGAGTCCGTGTACGAGGACGCGATGAACCTTATAGCGGGGATACCGGTGATCGCGGCGTTTATCTACCGCCGAGTGTTCAAGGATGGGCGTATGATACCGGCTGACCCCACCCTCGATTACGCCGCGAATTTTGCGCACATGCTTGGATTCGACGACCCTGGGTTTTACGAGCTCATGCGCCTTTATTTGACGATTCACGCGGATCATGAGGGCGGGAATGTCAGCGCGCACACCACGCATCTCGTCGGCACGGCTCTTTCCGATCCGTACCTGGCGTATGCTGCGGGGCTGAATGGTCTGGCGGGCCCGCTGCACGGGCTGGCCAATCAGGAAGTGCTGAATTGGCTTCACGAGGTTCGCGAAGAGCTCGGCGAAACCCCGACGAAGGAGCAGCTGGAGGGGTTCGTTTGGAAGACGCTCAAGGCGGGGAAAGTGGTGCCCGGTTTCGGACACGCGGTGCTACGGGTTACCGATCCGCGATACATTTCGCAGAGGGAGTTCGCAAAAAAGCATCTGCCCGATGATCCCATGTTCCATCTGGTTTCTGACCTGTTCGATGTCGTTCCGGGTGTGCTGACGCAGACGGGGAAAGTCAGGAACCCGTGGCCTAACGTCGACGCGCACAGTGGAATTTTACTCGCGCATTACGGGCTTAACGAGTCGAACTTCTATACGGTGCTGTTCGGTGTGTCCCGCGCGATGGGCGTGCTGTCGCAGCTGATTTGGGACCGCGCCTTGGGATTGCCGATCGAGCGCCCCAAGAGCGTGACGATCAAGTGGCTGGAGGAGCACGGCGAAGCGGCGAAAGCTCACGAGGCGGCGAAGGCTCGCGACCTGTCGGAGATGGTGGAATTAGTAGAGACTGCCTCAAGGCTGTAATAATAATTTAGGGGCTTTGATTATATCGGAGCTGTGATTGCACGGGGAAGCGATCATTGTGGCCAGCCCTCAAGCTTTGCGACATCGGCTGCCACCTCTCCTTGCGCACAACCACTCTCAAGAACTTTCGTCCGGACCTCTCCTTTCGTTTTGTGTTAGCTTTCGATTTCCTTACTTTTCTTCTTTCGTTTGCCTTGCACCAGTTCCTTGGGACGCCCTGAATTGTGTTGTACAATAAAGTCAGGGTGGCTCCTGGTAGCTAGTCCCAGCAAGCACTGAAGCACTGAAGCTGTGCTAGTTCCTTCTCCATTGTTGCTGGTTCTCCATTGTAATGGCGTTTAGCTTCTTGTAAATGGAACGCATTTGCGGCTGATACAGGATCACTGGCTGTTTACCTTCGTGGAAAGGGAGGTATGGGCATGCTTCAAGTGACGGCGGGGACGAAGGCAGATTGGAGGGAGGGAGCCCCGAAGAAGGGGGGAGGAAGTTGGGGGATTGAAAGGTTTGCGACGGATGCTGGAGATTTGCAAAATGCAAATCGCACATTGCATTTCCGTAGGTGAACACGAGGGTTGCGCGAATGACCACATTGGGAGCGAAACTAGGTTACAGGACTCGGGCGGAAGGGCTTCCCCACTACTTTTGCTTTGGCGAAGCGAAAGTTTTCGCTACATATTTCAGAAACGTGGGTGGGTCATTTGCCTAGCAGGCAAAAGGATCCACATTTGGTGCCTTGATGCATGTGCGGTGTGTTTCGTATCAATTCCAGCTGGTAGAGCGGTTATACATTTGAACCATTCTAAACCGTGACGAAACAAGAGGAACCGCTCAGAATGAGCTCAAAATGAACTGTACTGAAACTGTAAACGAACACGCTGACCCCGCCCTAATATTCAGTTCAGTCTGTGCCAGCGAGACAATTACTACAATCGAGTGACTCTTACTGAGTGCTCTCTTTTGTTACTCTGAACACAAATCATGGCAGACGCTATGGACATAGACGCCGACTCGACCCGCAATGCAACGGCGATGTGTCCACCAGATCCCGCGGCACCAAACGCGGACGATTTGTCGTCTCCGCAAACAGCGACGGCGCGCGAGCAACGAGAGCCACAGGAGGCGGACGACGCGGCAGATACAGGATGTCCGGAGCGCGAGAGCCCGAGCCGCAGCAGCGAAGAAGACCTGGTCGTGTCGCTGACGCGGCGCGGGGAGGAAGGGACACAGCGATTGGTCGAAGCCGCGGAAGGCGTGCTGTCCACGCTGAACCTCGTCATGTGCAACGGCGCCTTCTGGGAAGCTTCTTCCGAAACAGCAGGCGCTGGCAGTGCAAGCTCTGAGCAGCAGCTGCATCAGCAAGAGCAGCAGCAGCGGCGGACCTCGGGATTGCCGCCGGATGCGGCAGCAGCCGCCATTGAAATGGCTCACCTTCGCTATAAGAACATCTCGTCAGAGCTCCGGTCCCTGCTTCTGCGGCTGCAGGAAGAGATGGAGAAAGGGACAAAGCAGGCCGGCCGGCCAGGGAACGACTGGGAAGGAACTCAACAGGGCCCTGACCCAGGGCTTTCTGCACCTGATGCTGCACATGACCACGCAGCACCTGAAGAAGCTCCTGAAGCGGCACCTGAGGCGCTTGCAGCACACGAGTCGCCGTCAGTAGAGGAGTTGACTGCACGAGCAGCGACCCTGAGAAAGGTGCGTTCACTGACATAACACTGAGGAGTTGACTGAGAATTAAGCAAATAAAATTAATCAAATTAGCAGAAGAACCTTAAGGGACGTGTGTGAGGGCATCTGAAGAGGCAGCTAAACGTAGTGGTGGATGGTGGGTGGTGGGTGATGGGGAATTGATGGTGGGTGGTGCGGGATGGTTGATGAGTGATGCGTGATGGATGATGAGTGAAGGATGATGGGCGATGGGTGATGGACCATGTACGATGCTACCTTTCCTGTACATTTTCTCCTCTCCCCTCTCCCACTCTCTCCCCTCCCACAAAACTGCAAATACAGAGGTGTAACGCGCGGCTGAGAGCAGCAACGGAGGCTCTGAGGGGGGTAACATGTGTCTCAGTCACTCACCAACCCCTCTTCTCTTCCCCACTTTGCTCGTGCTTCACGAGACTTTGAACCACTCTCCCCTTCCACAACAGCAAATCAAGAGGTGTAACATGCGACTGAGAGCAGCAATGGAGGCCCTGAGGGGGATATCAGACAATGGCACTCACACACCCCCCTCTGCTGTTCCCCTCTGTGCACCTCCTGCATCGTATGAAATCCCAAATCGCTCTCCCCTTCCACAACAGCAAATCAAGAGGTGTAACGTGCGACTGAAAGCAGCAATGGAGGCCCTGAGGGGGATTCTGGATGACGTCACTCTGTTTCAGGCACCCCAGCTGCTTCTGCTCTCGCAATCCTGATTGTCGAGCAAGTGCCTACCAGTATCATTCCTCAAGTTCAGCCTTCTATGAATCCCTGCCTGCTTCTTTTGAGCCAGTTGGCAGTGGTGTATATGTAGTGTATAATGATGATCATAAGTATTCAACCACAGGTGAACGGACACATGCCAGTTACATAAAGCTGCAGTATAGTCAAGTGACTCTCTTCTTGTTATTGCAGATCATTTACCGTATGTTAAATGACTCTCGTTCTCTCCATCATGAAGCCAAAGAGCCCCTCAAATACATCACCTACCTACTCTTCTTCCTCTCGCCGTTTCCCATCAGCGCCTCTTTCTCCTCACCAGCCACCTCCTTTCGCGCCGCCGCCGCTCCCAAATCCGATCCCGCCCGCTTCTTCTTACCCTTGGATTTCCGCCACTTGAGATAAATCTGATAGCTCAACCCGGCAAAGACCATCCCCACACCCGCCCACTGCTGCCCTGTAAGCGGATTTCCATTCCACACGGCCGAGATCAAAATACTCATGAATTTCCGAGTCGTGGTGATGGTCGTGTTGACCAGCGCGCCAAACTTGTTGATGGTCAGAAAAATAAAGTTCTGCCCGACGGCGCCGCAGAGGCAGAAGAGGAACACGTCCACGGCAGCTTCGGGGTGAGTGCGGCAAAAGTCGATGGCTGCCATGCCGCCGCCGCCCGGCCATGCGAACATGTAGAGAGCCATGTACAGAGTGCCCCATATGTTCATGCCCAGCATCAGATGGTATGTGGCCGTGAAGGGGTACCTGGATGGTGGTTGGGGCATAAAGGATGTGCGGTGCGGTATAAGGTGACTGGAGGACAAAGGAATTGAGGCTCAGCCACGCATGCATTCCCAGTCATGAGATGTCTCCAACTCAGGCAGCTTCGGGGTGCGTGCGGCAAAAGTCGATGGCTGCCATGCCGCCGCCGCCGCCCGGCCAGGCAAACATGTAGATTGCCATGTAGAGTGCGCCCCATATGTTCATGCCCAGCATCAGATGGTATGTGGCTGTGATTGGATACCTGGAAAGGGGTTTGGGGCAACAGGGGCGTGTGGTGCAGTATAAGGTGATCGAAGCACGAGGGAATTGAGGCTCGGACATGCTTTCCCAGTCATGAGATGTCTCCAACTCAGGCAGCTTCAGGTTGAAGAAGCAGAGGGTGTAGTAGTAGCATTGGGGCTCGTGACTTTTGAGTTCACTCAGAAGTAGCCTCGGGCATCAAGAATCAACTCACTTGGCGGTGATGGAGTCCTGAGTGGCGTTGGTGAACCCATCCAGCCCCAGGTTGAGGAAGCAAAGGATCTAGTAGCGTTGGGGCTCGTCAGTAGCCTCAGGTAACATAGCTTCAAGAATCAACTCACTTGGCGGTGATGGAGTCCTGAGTGGCATTGGTAAACCCATCCAGCCCCAGGTTGAGGAAGCAAAGGATCTAGTAGCATTGGGGCTCGTAAGAAGCCTCAGGTAACATAGCTTCAAGAATCAACTCACTTGGCAATGATGGAGTCCTGAGTGGCATTAGTAAACCCATCCAGCCCCAGGTTGAGGAAGCAAAGGATCTAGTAGCATTGGGGCTCGTAAGTAGCCTCAGGTAACATAGCTTCAAGAATCAACTCACTTGGCGGTGATGGAGTCCTGAGTGGCATTGGTAAACCCATCCAGCCCCAGGTTGAGGAAGCAAAGGATCTAGTAGCATTGGTGCTCGTAAGTAGCCTCAGGTAACATAGCTTCAAGAATCAACTCACTTGGCGGTGATGGAGTCCTGAGTGGCATTGGTAAACCCATCCAGCCCCAGGTTGAGGAAGCAAAGGATCTAGTAGCATTGGGGCTCGTAAGTAGCCTCAGGTAACATAGCTTCAAGAATCAACTCACTTGGCGGTGATGGAGTCCTGAGTGGCATTGGTAAACCCATCCAGCCCCAGGTTGAGGAAGCAAATGATCTAGTAGCATTGGGGCTCGTAAGTAGCCTCAGGTAGCATAGCTTCAAGAATCAACTCACTTGGCAGTGATGGAATCCTGAGTGGCGTTGGTGAATCCGTCCAGCCCAAGGTTGAGGAAGCAGAGCGTGTAGCCCAGAGGTGCGTTGGGGCTAGCGAGCTTGCTCATCGCCTTGCTGGAGCTCTGTGGGAGATGAGGGAGGGAGGAGTGTGTCAGGGAGGGGGGGTGGAGTGGGGAAGCAGGGCAGCGAAGATATACAAAGGGAAGGTGGGGAAGCGGAGGGTGTAGCCCAGAGGTGCGTTGGGACTGGCGAGCTTGCTCATCGCCTTGCTGGAGCTCTGTGGGAGAGGCATGAGAGGCAGGGAAGAGGAAAGGCAGAGCAGGGAAGGGGGATAAAGTGAAGGTTGAGGAAGCAGAGGGTGTGACCCAAGCGTGCATTGGGACTGGCGAGCTTGCTCATCGCCTTGCTGGAGCTCTGTGGGGAGAGTGGAGTAGGGAGGGGAGTGCGAAGAGAATTGAGTTGGGACAGAAGAGGAAGCAAGAAGCGGGTGTAGACCAAGTCGCTCGCTTGGACCAAGTCGCTCGCTTGGACCGAGTCGCTCGCTTGGACCGAGTCGCTCGCTTGGACCGAGTCGCTCGCTTGGACCGAGTCGCTCGCTTGGACCGAGTCGCTCGCTTGGACCAAGTCGTTCGCTTGGACCAAGTCGCTCGCTTGGACCAAGTCGCTCGCTTGGACCGAGTCGCTCGCTTGGACCGAGTCGCTCGCTTGGACCAAGTCGTTCGCTTGGACCGAGTCGCTCGCTTGGACCGAGTCGCTCGCTTGGACCGAGTCGCTCACCCAGACCAAGTCGCGCACCCGGACCAAGTCGCGCACCCGGACCAAGTCGCGCTCCCGGACCAAGTCGCGCACCCAGACCAAGTCGCGCACCCGGACCAAGTCGCGCACCCGGACCAAGACGCGCACCCGGACCAAGTCGCGCACCCGGACCAATTCGCGCACTTGGACCATGTCGCTCACTTGGACCAAGTCATGCACCTGGACCAAGTCAATCTATGGAAACAACCCACCTTAAAGAGGGCGAACATGGAAACTCCCCCGGCGACAAGCAGAGTGCAGATGTACTCTGGAATGGTGTAGCGCACCCCGTACATGATGGCGCCTGCTAGCATCACTGGGAGTGTGTGGGAGAGTGCATTGGAGTGGGCGGGTATGGGGGCAAAGGTAGGTGTGCAGTTGAGTGGGGACGAGCTTAAAAAGGATCAGCAGGAGGAGAGGAGACTCAGATATACGCCGGGAGAAAGGGAGGCAGCAACGCATTCTGTAGGTAATGCACCTCCCGGCAGCACTGGGCGTGACATGACAAGGATTGCGAGTCAACAGGACATGGCCTTGCAACTTGCATTGACACGTATGCCTTGAATTGCCGACTTGTGTCTTCATCGGCAGAACATTTGGATCAATTGAATCAGAAAGGAACGCATGTCGCGATATCATATGACCACGCATATACATGTACACATAAGGTACCATACATACACATATACGCACATAGTAATACATGAATATGCAGAAAACACCCACAAAGTGGTGGGCACCTACCAGGAATCATCTTGGATGACTTGGCCAGGACCTGATACAAGAGATGATTGCGTTTCTTTAGGCGCCTAAAAAGCTGTCTCAGCTTACAAGGTGGTGTGGGGGGTTGGATCATACCTGGAATCATCTTGGATGACTTGGCCAGGACCTGAGGAACGGGATGATAGAGGGTTGCAAAAAGAGTTACAGGAAGAACGCAGTGAGTGAATCAAGAAAGGGAAATCTATACACGGGGCACAAGGGTGGGAGCAGAACAGGTGTGGGAGCGGCACAAGGGGGGTAGGACACGTATTTTTTTATTGACTCAATATAGTCGCGCAGGGGAAAGCAGAATGAGATGTATAGGAGATGTATTTGTGCGAAATGAGGCAAAGCAGGGGTCAGGGGATGGTAGCAGCACACCCGGGAATGGTAAACGCTACACTGTGGACAGGGTGACGTGGCGCACCTGGGCAGGGTAGGAGATGTATTTAAGGGCAATGAGGCCGCACGCCGGGCCGATGGTGTTGGTGACCCCCGGCAGCCAGTAGGACAGCAGCGGTGGCTGTACTGTCATGTTGGTGCCCAGAATGTTGAGCACTGATGGGGTTAACGAGGGAGAGGGGTGAAGAGGGGATTGAGAGGCGAGTGAGAGGAAAGTGAGAGGAAAGTGAGAGGAGAGTGAGAGGAGAGTGAGAGGAGAGTGAGAGGAGAGTGAGAGGCGAGTGAGAGGCGAGTGAGAGGCGAGTGAGAGGCGAGTGAGCGGCGAGTGAGAAACGAGTGAGAAGCTAGTGAGAAACGAGTGAGAGGCTAGTGAGAAACGAGTGAGAGGCTAGTGAGAGGCGAGTGAGAGGCGAGCAGAAAAGGACGTTGATTAGGAAGAAGAGGGAGGTGGGTACGCACTGAGGAAGGCGACGACGGAGCAGACGAGGCTCTGCGCGAGGTTGAGGAACGCCAGGTGCTCGAACCGCCTGTTGTCCGGCGCGAACCGCTTCGTGGAGCTGCATGGAGTGAGTGAGGGAGTGAGAGGGAAGGAAGGAGACGTTGCGAATTGCGAACAGAGATCCGCGGAAAAGCTAATTCTTTACTTATTCTTGAAGGAATGAACCAAGAAATACTCATGATTGGATTGAGTAAGCCTCGGAATGAACACATCACTCTCGAAATTGACTGGGCTTTGGGTCGCAATGCGCAATTGGTCTCGTGCTGAAACCCGCTATGCGAAATTACTGTCTTCTTCGCAAACGGCGGTAACGACGAATTCTCGGGAATCTCGATGGTGATAGCAGCAATCCGTGACGAAACCACGGGATCAGCGGTCATTGTGCAATTCTGCAATATCGAACGGCTAAAAACTTTCAGAATCAGCCGTCCTGAAGAGTCGAGCGGCTAGAAACTACCAGAATCAGTCGTCTGTCAACATCAAACGGCTAAGGAGTTTCAAGTTGATAGAGGACAATTACAGATTCTCCTGCACGACGCCTTGCGTGAGGTACGCCGCCCAGATGCCGGTGACGCAGACGGCGAGAAGCACGGCGCGTTTCCACGCGGCGGAGGACCCATGGCCCAAATGGCCGGCGGCAGCCATGACTGATCAATGAATTCAGTGATACTTGAATGATCGTTGAGGTACTGACAAGGTTGCCGACTGGTGTTCGAACTGACACGAGCTAAAAAACCAAGTATCTTTGTCATTGTTTAAAGCATGTCTGGATGGTGTAGTCGGTTATCACGCCAGTCTCACACACTGGAGGTCTCCAGTTCGATTCCGGGTTCAGACAGCGCTTTTGCTTTGCCTTGCGAAATGGTTAATAGCGACTCTTATACAGATTTCCCACAGCAGGACAGATCTTGTTTCAGCTTCAGATGATGCACACAAAACTCTCTCCTCACGGTAATGGCTCTGCACATAGGCATCTGCATCTCCATAGCTTTCATAAAAATATTCCTCCGATATTTATACGCATGCACAGTATGAACAGATGATTCAGCCCTTAGTAGCTTCAAAATCAGGCAGCAGCTGAGGCCACGTAATCAATCGCTTCCTTGCAGATGCAGGTCATGCTGGCTTCAGGACCATACACCTGTAAACATGCTCCCATGGAGTACATGGGAGGAGAAGCAAGGGCAGCCGATGGGGGAAATGTGGTGAGAAGGGTTGCGTGCACATAGAAGGGCCTGATCAGATTGCAAGCACATGCAGATGAGTCTCGGCAAAAGTGGGAACACTTCAGTTCTCCCCTTGCTTTTTACTTCGCGCATCAGGATGCGGATCTCAAATATCCATGCTCAGCCGTCACATCTTCAAGACCCTACCGGAAGCTGGGTCCCTTGCATCTGAGACATACCGTAAAGGCATTCATGCTGGATACGCACCTGGATGGGAATGCCAATCTCGGTGCCAAGCTCGCACATCTTCTCAAGCCCCTTGCGGATGTAGAACCCTGTTCTTAGCGACATCTCAAATCACTCAATCCTTGCTCCACACGCACCTGAATGGGGATGCCAATCTCGGTGCCGAGTTCACGCATCTTCTCAAGCCCCTTGAGGTAGTTGGGCCCTCCACGCCGCACAAAGATGCGCACCTTGGCATCCTTGATCTGCCGCTCCTGGTGAAAGAAGATGGATGGGGGGAATATGGGGTGTGGGCATGGTGAGTGAGGGACATGTACACATGAAGATGTGCACTTTGGCATCCTGGATCTGCCGCTCCTGGTGGAGGGATGATGGATGGGGGGAATATGGGGCGTGGGCATGGTGAGTGAGTGAGGGACACGCACACATGAAGATGCACACCTCGGCGTCCTTGATCTGCCACTCCTGGTGGAGAGGAGAGACTAGGGAGGGCTAAGCGTGGTGAGAGCAAGACACGGAATGGGCACACCGAGGAAGAGACACACACATGAGGATGCACAATTTGGCGTCCTTGATCTGCCGCTCCTGGTGGAGAGGAGAGACAAGGGAGGGATATGGGTAGGGCCATGTTGAGTGAGAGACACACACTAAGATACGCATATGCGCGTCCTTGATCTGCCACTCCTGGCTGTAGGGACAAGGCACGGCGGGGTGTAGGGTATGGGTCTGAATGGTGCGTTTTAACTCACCTGTGAGAATTCTGAAAGCCACGCAAAACGCAACTTTCCATCTGTGATCCATGAGGCCACGCAGCCTACCTTCTCTCGGAGCGCACGTGTATTATGTGTTTCGAGTAGACTCAAAACATATCGTTCCACCCATAACGCCTGGCAGCTTACCTTCTCTCGGAGCGCCCGAATGATGCCGGAAAACGTCTTGGCCACGTCTGTGAAGTTGGCGATGCCTCCACCAATCAGCAGCGCACGTGGACGGCCATCGGGATTGGCTGTGGCGCACTGAAGATGGGAAGGGAGGGAAGGGGGAGGACGTGTGGATTCGGTTGTGCCTCTACAAGTGAGCAGCATGCTTGGATGGCCATCGGTAAGGTGGCAAGAAAATCGCTTCAGCATATCAAGAAACATGAACCAAGATGGCATGCTGATTAAGTTTGCAGAAACTGTGAGGGACCCACGTCAATCAAGATGCGAGCATACTGCAGCGTCTCCTCCTCGTTTGGCGCTCCACTGTACTCTGCATAGTTGCCCAGCTCCTGTGCGTAGCCCAAGTCCCCCACCTGAACACCAAAGAGAGGAACAGCCCGGATGAATTCGGGGACAGAAGGAAGGAAAGACATATGCACAAGACAAGCTTTGGAGGAGTGGATGAAAGAAACGGCAGAAGAAAATAGCATCAGCATAATTAATAGGCGCGTCAAAACAGTTGACAGAGGGGGGTGGGTGTGTACAGTGTCGGCGTAGATGACTGAAGCCCCTCCTCCTGCCACCATGGTCCAAATAAACCCTTGATGATTTTTTACTCAACTCAAAACACAGAAATGAGAATGGGAGAGTGGCGTACAGTGTCGGCATAGATGACGGAAGCCCCTCCCCCTGCCACCATGGTCCAGATGCGGCCCTTGGGGTTCAGAATGGTGAGCTTGAGCGAGGCCCCCGTCTGATGGGGGGAGACGGCCGAGTTGAGAGAACAGAGAAGACGAGGGAAGGGAGAAGTGGGGGGAACAGAGGAGATGGGAGAGGAAAGGAGAAGAACAGAGGAGATGGGGGAGGAAAGGAGAAGAACAGAGGAGATGGGGGAGGAAAGGAGAAGAACAGAGGAGATGGGAAGGGAGAAACAACGGAGCCGGGAAGGCTGGGATGGCTTGAGATGGCATGGCACATTGACAGACCCCATACGTCATTGACAGCCCTCACCCATAATCACACTGACAGCCCCCTCCATAGTCACGCTGACGCCTCCTCCCCTCCTTCCCCACCATGCGACAGACGGACACGCTGATGGGCCTTTGAATAGTAACACCAACAGGCCCCATGGGAGCACAAGCAGTACACGGGGAATTTCCCCACGCTCACCTTCTCATCCATCTCGTGAATCCTCTCCTCCGAAGGAGACATGGTGCGGCCAAAGGGGAGAGGGAACTCCACGTCGCCCCACCTGCGTTCGGGTGCAGTGGAGAGGGAATGGGGAGACAGAAATGATTCAATTTAACTCAAAAGGCACGTTGAAGTCAACTCAGAACTCATGAAAGAGGGCACTCATTCGTACATACTTCTGGAAGTGCTTGAACTGTGCAGTGTCGTCCAGCTCGCCACGCATGTCCAGAGGAAAGGGCTCCCCGTTGACGACGATGAACGGGTTCATCTCAATCAGCGTGAAGTCCAAGTCTGGTGGAGAGGGGGGGGAGGGGGGGGGGGGAAATGGAAATGAGGGTTGGGGGAAGGTGCACAGGACGATTGGCTTTACATTGATGGCTTCCTGTCGGCAAAACTGGTGATATCCACGTCCAGTCAAGAGTATGGGGCAGATCGACAGGGTGAGGAATAAAAAACGAGTGGAGCATGAGAGGACGGTATCACCTTTGAAGACAGCAAAGACACCCTTGATGAACTTCTCCATGCTTTCTCGGACCTGCAGAGAGGCCAGGAGACGCATAGCAGACGCATGGATTGGATGAGGGATTAGATTGAGAGCTGAGAAGCGGAGTAATTTCTCCTGCTATGGAGTCAAGGGCAAGGAGGGAGTGAAGGTGGGCATGAAGGGGAAGAACGGACGGGCATGAAGGGGAACAACGGGCAAAGGGAAATAGCTATGGAACGGAATGGACTAAAAGGAAAAGGCGGGCGCAACTGAAGAGGGATAGGCAGGAACGGAAGGAGAGAGAGCGGTTCCACGCACCTCGAGGGGCAGAGTCGCAATGAGCGGCGCACAGAGCTCTGATGTGAGCTCTGACTCTGTGGGCACAAAGATGGTCTTCACCTGCCAGCCCGACACAGAAAGTCACAGGACAAACACCGCATGGCATGACACACACCACGTGGCATAATGGCACACACACGCGGCGGTGCACTCCGTGATAGCACCCGCCACAAGAGCATGCCCCATGATGGCACATGCCATGACGGCACATGCCATGACGGCACATGCCATGACAGCACATGCCATGACAGCATACCCCAAAACGGCACACGCCATAACATCACACGTCAGATAAGCACACATAACGAAGGTACAACACGTGTTAATGCTCTGGAAAACGAACTCCTGAGCAGTGCTTTATTCGTATCCTAGTTACTCCCATCGTCCTTCCTTCCCATGCTCCACACCTCATCGCAGTTCTCCTCTATTTCAACTCCCTTCCTCACGGCTCCCCCCATCTCACTTCATCCCCAATCCAACCCCCTTTTCCCTGGTCGCCCCCATCGTACCTTGTCCCAGTTCTCCTCGATATTGACGCCGCCGCATTCGGAGAAGCACACGTCGCAACCCAGGCGCTTGGAGGTAATGGAAAGGTAGTACTCCTCCTTGTGCGGGATGAACGGCTCCACTATGAACGTCGTGATGGGGCCCTTGGACTGCCCCATCTCCACCTGTTGGAGGCACAGCGAGAGACACAGAGAGAGGAGGTGACAGAGAGGTGATGCTAATTATATACCCATTCGTTGCAACGACAAACATCGCAGGAGCGAAGCAAGCTCAATGTCGCTTAAACGCACAGAGAACAGGCTCTTACCTCCTTGCCGAGCTTGCTCTTAACGAACGCCTCCACTCCTGCGAAGTCCAGGTCAAGAGCCACCTGCAAGAGTGGGGGTGCGAGAAAGAAAAAAAAGCATATGTACGAGGGGTGGTGGAAACGGAAACGGGAGCTGGTCGCCAAGATCAAGGGACAGCGAATGGTTCACTGGGATGTTCTAGCCTCGCGTGAAGACTTCTGAGTCGCTTCAAAATGTTTAGAAGACAATGGCAAAACTTCCCAACAGTAAAAGGCTTACCAGCAAACATGGCTCACCAGGCCGCTCTTGCCTCGCTTGCCGAACAGCATGTCCGGCTTCACCACCATGCGGGTGCTGTTCATCCATGGCTGCTCGTTCGCGAGCTTCGCGAAATCCGTCTCCGATGTGATCTATTGACATCGAATAGGTTGGACATCGCAAAGAAAATCCAAGCGAAGCAGTTTTAGTTGGATGAAAGTTCACTTCAAAAAATGCTTGGAGTGAAACGAGAAGAAGAGATGTGTCTCGGTGGCAACTGCGGTTCACGCGGAACGTCCGCACAGATGCGAGGAAAATAATTCTCCCACCTGGACAGAGTTGATAGTCAGATCGATTCCCGCGAGGCGCTTCAGGTGCTCCTTCAGGAGGCGTTTGGAGTCGTACTCTCGGATCTTTTTCCGGGCCATATTTAATTCTGCATAATAAAAGGCGAGACGAAACAAATGAGCAAAGGATGGGAATGGCTAAAGCGTGGACAAGACAACTACAACTTTCCAAATGGCGTAGTTCAACAGGGGAGTCAGTTCGACGGATGCAATCACTAATACACGTAAAAACATCCATTTCCTACCTTAATGATAGAACAGCAAGGCAGCACCAGCACTGATGTGAAAAATCCAGATGAGTCGGGAAGAGCAAGCTACCGAATCAGATGCACCAGTCTACTACTCCTTCCTGATCCAAGCAAATGAGGCAGAGCTGAGCTAAATGCTTCTGATGTCTGAGCTTGAATCTCAATCTAGTGAAATCCGAAACCAGCTCCTCCTCGCACCTCTCACAAGTCTCAACTCAACTAACTTCGGGGGAGGGGACGTATTTATCTGACGTATGCGGTGTGGTGTGTCACTGATTCGGAACGAACGAAAACAAGTGTGCGAGGTTTGCTAGGGGACCTCCTAGTTTGAGTTCCGGCGACGACACTTTGGTAATTTTGCGAAGCGAATCGAGGATTTTCGCATGAGCTCAGCACGACACAGACCCACGAAAGAAACGCTGAAACTTAACTCCTGCCTCCGCAGATGCGGTCACATTTGGCGGGTTTCCCGAGGGCGACAGCGGCGGACATAAAGATTGTGGAACGGAGTTCTCAAGAACTGCCACTGGCTTTCAATGAATTCCCACGAAAAATAGCAGGCAGTTCTGGCATTCTCCCATACTGTACTCCCTCCTGCCTAGAGGCGCGGATTCGCCGCGGAACTGGCTCTGCGCAAAGGTGCAGGGGAAGTGAGGTGGGGCAGTTTGAGTTGTTGCTGACGTTACTTGGGCCCAGATCACCTGTCACGTCGTCCCGTGGCAGCACGCAGTTGGTGCTGGCCCCTCACTCTCACACAAGTGGTCCCACCACCACCCAGCAGTCAATCAATTGCAAAAAACTTTTCATTATTTAGACATACATTTCCATAATACCGAACAAAACTCCACCACATTGCATAGCTCAACACCAAGGCATACTGCCTTCTATGGTTTACTTGGAATCACCTGCAGCCTCTTGATGTCCTCAATATTGTATACCCCTGCAACCGAGTCATCAACGACGGCTCGCACCGCTACAGCTGCAAGATCAGCAACATCTACAGGAGGCGCTAAAAGCAGGTCGGAGGCTGGAAGAGGGGAAAATAGCTTTGTGATATCCTTAGTGGCTGACAGCAGCTTCTCCAACGGCTGGCCAATCAGATCGAGCGGAACCTCCACACCCCCTGCTACCCGCCTTTTTCCGTAGATAAATCCCGGCCTCAGCACAACTCCTGGCGCGTCGGGTGAGGGGAAAGGTTTGACAATAACATGATTGGCTTTGGGTAACAGCAACGGATAACGATTACAAGCTGGAGGAGAGAGAACGGAAAGGGAACCTGTCAAGGTTGAGTGAGCCCGCACATAAACAGGGGGTTGGGTTTGAAGATATGCACAGGAAAGCGAGAAGAGAGCAAGAAGAACCACACCTGTGTTGGGGAACGCATCAAGAACCGCCGTCTCGGCTCTTTTCTTGCCATTAAAATATCCATTCTCCTTGGCAAAATCGGGCAGGTTGTAATCGTGCACCGACACAAACACAAACTTGCGCACGCCACGGTCTTTAGCTGCTTCAACCGCAACCACTGTAGCATCTCCGTTGATCCGCTCCATCTGCTCGTCTGTGCCGAACCCCCCGATGCAGGACACCACTACAGTCACATCCGTTAGAAGCACAGTCCAGTTGGCGGAGAACACGTCGCCAGTCTCCCATGTGACACTGTTAACCCACGTCTCGTTGGAGACGGAGGGTCGGCCGGACCTGAAGGAGGTTCGAACGTCACACATGGTTGAGGCAAAATGGGGCATGAGGGGGGTTGAGACAGAGGGAAGGGGTGGTCACCTTGTCAGGAAGAGAATGCTGGGAATGTCTGATCGTGGTGGCAGAAACAGCTGACATTCAAACAAAGAACTCCAACACCAGAGACATGCATCTGCTCGGGCTGACCATGTCAGTTCCCCTGTTAGCTGCTGTTCGCTTGCTGTTGACGGCACAGATGCTGTTACCGAAGACCTTCAAATCCAAGTGCTTTCAGATCACGATATTCGCACCTGCTCAGGCTGACCACGTCAATGCCTCTGTCAGCCGCTGCTTTTGCCACAGCGGAGCCTACAAATCCACTCCCACCAAGAACCAGCACCTGGGAGAATCCGGAGGGGAGGTGGGGAGAGTCGAGGTGAGTGGGACATTTTAAGTTGAGTTAGCATGAACCGCTATCACCAAGCACTAGCACTCAGGGGAATTCCAAGGGGGAAACTCGATGCAGGTGAGACGTTTCAAGTTGATCAATGAAAACCACTCCCACTAAGCACCAGCATCTGAGAAATCCGAAACGTAGGAGTTTGAGGCCGAGACATCCACAGGTACTGGGATTCAATCAACGGACTAAGGATTTTAGGTGTTGCTCGCCCCAACGCTCTTGGCATTGACCACACTTCCGCCCTTGCCATTGCCCGCCCTGCCGCTCTCGGCATTGGCTGGATTTCACCGTTCAACTGTCTTGCTCCCGCTCCTTCTCATCCCCCCACCTTCTGAATCTCTCACATTCGCGTTTACTCATGCTCGTATTCGCTCACCTTCTCGTTCTTAATCTCGGCCTCTACGTCGATCGCCGAATCTCCCGCTTCTGCCGCCGCTGCAGCGATTTTCCGCCGAGCAGTTCGCTTGTGTGCCTTCGATATAGTCACAGGTGATCTGCGCGTACGAGCAGGACACAAGTGGACGCCTCGCAAGGTAGCACGAACGAACGTAAGAACAATGGTAAGAATTAAAAGAACTCTTGAGTGTCACTGTAAATGCGTTACATAAGGTGAAAAGGACCCACAGTAAGGCGTTACGAGTTGCCTCCACGACGTGCCTCGACGAAGAGGGTCCGTGGCTGGTAAATCGCACGAAGCCATCGCGACGGAGAGATACGGTAGGAGGAAGACACTGCTGTGAAACGGCAACGAATTTCGCTGACGCGGACGGGATCAACAAGGAAGCAGAAAACGCCATTGAGAAAGACAAGCCGCGACGCAAGGCGGATTTCCCGTCGAGCACGAATGAGTAGTAGTGAATGAGTGATGAGTGCAGGAAAGAGAACTACTTTCTAGAAAGAAACGTACAAATGTTCTCGTTATTCGCAGAAACGTCACCGTTTCAAATTGTTCAGTTTACTTCATCGGTGTAAGCCTAAATGGAATTTCTATATAATCATTTTGTATTCAAAGCATAACAGAATTATTTCTACCGGCAATTATCAATGGCAGACTAAAAACAACGTGACACCTCTCCTCGTGGGCCAAGCAGCAATTTTCTGAACATTTGCAAAACAAATGGGAGTGCTAAAGGTCCATGTCAAAACCTAAGCATATGGCTTGTCCTTCACAGCCCACTCAAAGATCTGCTCATATTGCTGCGCCGCCCTGTTCCACGACATGTCCTGAGTCATGCCCCTCTGAATCAGGCCTTGCCACGAGTCTTTGTGCTCACGGTACGTCTGAATGGCCGTCCACAGTGCCTGTGTGCAAGACAAGGAAGCAGAAAAAGTCACATTAGTGGGAGTTGGCCGAATTAACTGGAAGGCTAGTCCTTACGAGGGGAAAACAGCAGGGAGAGCTTTTTCTAACTGTTCGTTCCAACCACCCATCCCAGTTGTCCACCCTAACTGTCATCCCAACCGTCCATCCCAGACATCCATCCCAACCATCGATCACAGACACCTATCCCAACCATCCATCCCAGCCATCCATTCCAACTGCCATCCCAACCGTCCATTCCAAGCACACAAAACAAATGTTATAAGCATGTACCCCCCATCATGGCTTCCTGGGTAAGAGGTGAGAAGGACCACCCTGTGCCGGCGCCTGCACCCCCGTTGGCAAACGCGTTGAAATCCTCCACCGTGTCCCTCAGCCCGCCCGTCATGCTTCGAATCAAAGCTAAACAATCTCAGCCGTTCATCTACCATCCATCGCAACCATCCATCCCAACCATCCACGCCAACCACAAAAACAGGACAATTTTGAAACGTACCCCCATCATGGCTTCCTGGGTGAGAGGTGAGAAGGACCACCCCGTGCCGGCGCCTGCACCCCCGTTGGCGAACGGGTTGAAATCCTCCACCGTGTCCCTCAGCCCGCCAGTTGCGTGCACCACTGGCACCGTTCCGTACCGCATTGCATACAGCTGGTTCAGCCCGCACGGCTCGAAACGCGACGGCATGAGGAGGATGTCGCAGCTAGCATGGCAGTGGGGGGATGGGGGAGGGGAGAGAGGGGGGGAGAGGGGAGGGGTTGGGGGGAGGAAGAGAGGAGAGGGTTGGGAGGGTAAGTTCCTGCACGGCTCAAAGCGTGACGGCATGAGGAAAATATCGCAACTGGCATGGCAGAGGGGTGGGGGGGGTGGGGGAAGGGTGGGGGGAGGAGGGGAGCAGGGAAGAGAGGAGAGGGTTGGGAGGGTAAGTTCCTGCATGGCTCAAAGCGCAACGGCATGAGAAGGATGTCGCAACTGGCATGGCAGCGGGGCGCAGGGGGATGGGGGAAGAGGAGAGGGGGGGTGGGGGAAGAGGAGAGGGGGGGTGGGGGAAGGGAAGGGGAAGAGAGGAGAGGGGGGGGGGGAAAAGTTCCCGCATGGCTCAATGCGTGACGGCACGAGGAGAATGTCAGCTGGCATAGCAAGCAGGCAGGAAATGAGGGAGCAGACGGGGAAGGCGCAGAGCGGGGAGGGGGGATAGAAGGGGGAAACGTGGAGAGGGAAAGCTTAGGAAAAAGCACAACGACATGAGGAGGATGTCACAGCTGGCATGGCAGGCAGGCGAAGGAGATGCGGGGGGGGGAGGGAGAGGGGTGGGGGGGAGAGGAGGGGGGGGGGAGAGGAGAATGGAGAAGGGAGGAAGGGGAGAGAGAGAGAAGTCAGGGAGCAAGAGGGAGGTGAAGGGAGGTGGTGCGATGTAAGAAGTTCATTTCAAACATCCCTGCACCTATCCCAGCCTTACCCAGCAGTGATGCGGTGCGCCATGGGCACAGAGAAGCCCACCCAGCCTCGGAACTTGTCGGGGTAGGCGCTCTCCGCCCACTTCATCCATGCCTCCAGGTCCGGCTCTCCACTGCCCAGCATCACCTGGAAGCGGAAGGGTGGAAGGAAGGATGGATGAGCATCAGAAGTGAGTGCGCGATTTTATGGTTACTCCACCCTCATCACAACTTGTTGGGGTAAGCACTCTCCGCCCACTTCATCCATGCCTCCAGGTCTGGCTCTCCACTGCCCAGCATCACCTGGGAGAGGAAGGGGACGCAGGGAGCGGAAGGGGATGCAGGGAGAGGAGGGGCGAGCAGGGAGAGGAGGGGCGAGCAGGGATGGAGGAAGAAAAAAGGATGAGTGGGAGAATAATGTGCGTGACTTTATTGAGAAACCCAAACCCCCTTGGGAACTTATCGAGCAAAGCACCCTCGACCCACTTCATCCACACACACGAAACTTCCACCTTTGTGTCATTATGCCATTACGACCCCGCAAACCCCCACTCCCATCCCCGCACAACGCCCCATCAGCATGTGCACTCACAAATTGCACGCTGTCTGTCATCAGCTCAGGCAGCGCTGCTTGGATCACGTCCGGCCCCTTTGAGTCAATATAAACCCCCAGCACCGACTCCCATCACCACACAACGCCCCATCAGCATGTGCACTCACGAATTGCACGTTCTCTGTCATCAGCTCTGGCAGCGCCACCTGAATCACGTTCGGCCTCTTTGTGTCATTACAACCGCGCAACCCCCAACCCCCACTGCCATCCCCACACACACAACGCCCCATCAGCCCATGCACTCACGAATTGCACGTTGTCGGTCATAAGCTCAGGCAGCGCTGCTTGAATCACGTCCGGCCCCTTCTGCCAGTCCAGACGCCCAATGAACCCAATCTGATGGAGAGAAATAGAGATCCAAGGGGGAGAACGGGGAAGAGGGGCAAGCAAGAAGTGGTTCACAACACTACAATGTTTGACTGACGAGTTAAAAGTGATGTTTTGAGAGGCAGCACATGGCAGCACTGCCATGTGCATACAGTGCCTTTCCTAGAAGGAGGTTCAGTTCTCCAAAACAGTGAGTTGTTTGAATAGCACAACTCACCAGGGGTACCTCAGGCCGCACGGCCAGCCCCAGCTCCTTCTGCAGCGCTGCCTTGCACTCCGCCTTGCCCTCTAAGTCCTCTGCTGTGAACTGTGAGGGAATGTGCTTGTCCGTGGCTGGGTTCCAGTCAACGGTGTCTATGCCATTCGTCACTCCTGCAAGGGGAGCAAGGGCGGAGAAGCAAGGGGAAGGCGGAGTGGTGAGTGACTTGAGGTCCTCTGCTGGGAACTGCGAGGGGATATGCTTGTCCGTGGCTGGGTTCCAATCCACTGTGTCTATGCCGTTGGTCACTCCTGTTGCGGGAAAGAACAAGAGGAGGGGGGAAAAGGGGGGTGGGGTGGGGTGGGGCTGCTGTGAACTGTGAACGAATGTGCTTGTCCGTGGAAGGGGTCCAGTATATGCAATTCATCACTCCTGTGGGGGGGAGCACGTAGGGAGACAGGGAGGAGGTTGAGAGGAGGCAGGGACAGGGGTGAGTGTCAGGAGCGTGAATGCGAAGACTGCTGAGGAAAGATTAGCAGTGTGATGGGGAGTGTGAGGGAGCAGCGCCAAAGAGCAGTCCTAGGAAGAGTGTGAGGGAGCAGCGCCAAAGAGCAGTGTTAGGAAGAGTGTGAGGGAGCAGTGTGACGGAGAGTGTGTGTGAGATATTAGTGTGAGGGAGGGAGATGTACCCACCATTCAGCACAATGCTTCTTCCACGCAGCAGTCCATCTAGGCCCCATCCGCCCTCCCCTGTCGTGATCTCCCACGCATAACCCTGCAGCACGGAAGGAAAGGAGAACCCAAGAGTGAGCCAAAAACAAGGGTTTCCAGATGTGCACTCTTACCGAATTGGGGGGCAAGTGGGTGGCAGAAAGGGGGAAATGGGGGTATAGCGGAGGCTGGAACTGGGAAGGAGAGAAAGAAGGTAGGGGGTGTGAGAGAGAAGAGTGGTGCTCACCCACGAGAAAAAAGGGAGGGGAGGGGAAGGGGTGGGAGTAAGGGACGGGAGGATAGAAAAGTGGAGCCCACCCACCCACACAAACACCCACGCACCTGGCTGACGGTGAGAACACGGTCGGCAGTGAGAACGCGGTCCGCTTGAGGATGTTCACTGCCTCGCCCTTGTCCAGAGCGTGCTTCCTTGCCCACTCGACCAATCACCCACGCACCCACCCACCCACGCACCCACCTACCCACACACCCACCCACCCACACACCCACCCACCCACACACCCACCTACCCACGCACCCACCCACCCACGCACCCTCCCACCCACACACCCACCTACCCACGCACCCACCCACCCACACACCCACCCACCCACACACCCACCTACCCACGCACCCACCCACCCACGCACCCTCCCACCCACACACCCACCTACCCACGCACCCACCCACCCACGCACCCACCCTCCCATCCATCTATCCACGCACCTGGCTAACAGTGAGCACGCGGTCGGCGGTCACAATGGCCCCCTTGAGGATGTTCACTGCCTCGCCCTTGTCCAGAGCGTGCTTCCGCGCCCACTCGGGGAACACCCACTCCAGCGCCCCGTACCACTCCCCGGGCACGCCCAGGCTGCCAAAGGTGTATGCGGGCTCCACGCCCTGGTGGGCCAGGTTGTGAATGGCAATGATGGTGCGCGCGTCCTTGTACACGCCGTAGCGGCGGTATTTAGAGGCCACAAGGCTGGAGAATAAAAGGGTTGAAAGGAAACAGGGCGATGGAGAAAGGGGAAGGAGAAGGGGAGGAATGAGGGATAGAGGACGGGAGAATTGGGTCGAGAGCGGGAGGCACGCCCAGGCTGCAGAAGGTGTATGCAGGCTCAACGCCCTGGTGGGCCAGGTTGTGAATGGCAATGATGGTGCGCGCATCCTTGTAGACTCCATAACGACGGTACTTAGATGCCTAGATGCCACAAGGCTGAGTGTATGCATGGGGTGCAGGGGATGGGGTGATGGAGAAAGGGGAAGGAGACGGGGAGGAATGAGGGGCAAAAATAAGGGGCAGGGGCGGGGAGGGCAGCAGGCCCGGGGCACGCCCCGTACCACTCCCCTGGCACGCCCAGGCTGCCAAAGGTGTAAGCGGGCTCCACGCCCTGGTGGGCCAGGTTGTGAATGGCAATGATGGTGCGCGCGTCCTTGTAGACTCCATAGCAGCGGTACTTGGATGCCACAAGGCTGTGTGTATGCATGGGCAGGAATGGGCATGGGACACAGTGGGTAGAGGGCGAGGGGCATCGGGTGAGGCAATGCGGGCTCGACACCCTGGTGGGCCAGGTTGTGGATGGCGATGATGGTGCACGCGTCCTTGTACACGCCGTAGCGGTGGTATTTAGAGGCCATGAGGCTGTGGGGATTCAGCGGGGTTATGTATGGGGAGCCACGGGAGAGAGGGAGATGCAGAGCAAGGGAAAAAGGCAGATACTAAATTGGAGTGACTTTAGAGAATTCTCAAAAGTAACCCCGCGGATGCGCTACGGGCACTTGGCATGCGATAAGGCCACCTAACATGCTGTATTCCCCCCACCATCAGTCACTCACACAGGCACGAGTCCAGCATGCCAGTCGTTGGCCACAAACACCACCTTCTCCCCATACGTGAATTCCTGATCAGGCACTCAATACATCCAGCATTCACCACTTCCCCTCCCCCACCAGTGCCAGCCACTCACACAGGCACGAGCCCGGCATGCCAGTCGTTGGCGACAAACACCACCTTCTCCCCGTACGTGAACCCTCCAAACGGCAGCACCAGAGGCGCCTCACATGCCGCATGGCACAGCAGCGCGAACCGGAACTGTAGGTGAGGGGGCAGGGGGAAGAGAGGAATGGGCGTTGACGGGGTAAGTGATTGGGAGATTAAGGTGCGGAGTGAGGAGTGGAGTGAGGTGTGGAGGTTTGGAGGTGGAGATGAGAAAGGGTAAAGGATGTTTGGGGAAGGGTGAAGGGAATTCAGAGGAGGAAAATTTGATAACATATGCGCCTACCCTAAGATCCTCCCATCCCATTTCACCGCACCCAAAGCACTCCCATCCCATCCCAACGCACCTCACTGCACCAAACCACTTGAACCACCTCATCACTTTCCACCACACACCACACCTCGCCCTCACCTGATTGTCGCCGAACGCCCCTCTGGAGTCGCCATAGGGCGTGCCTGGGCGGTGGTAGGACGGGTGGTCCACAAACACCTGCCATGTTGCCACGTGGCAAAAGGGGATTCGAGGAGAAAGGGACAATGTATCGTCAATAACTTGAGCCTTATCAAGGCGACCTCTGTTACGCTATTCGGGGAAACTTAAATACTCTACTCCATAAGTAGCAAAAGTGGAAAATGCACCACCACAGAGGAACCGCTCACCCAGAAGAACAGCCCAAGAGCGCCCACCCCAAGAACGTCCAACCCCAAACTAAAACGGCCACCCAAAAATAACACCTCGTGTCTAGAAACTCACGAAGTCAACCCCATCGCGGAACTCATGGAAGAAGGCGACCTCGTGCCCCTCTCAGGGACTCGGACCCGAACATGCACACCCTCACAGCACACACCCAAGAGCGGTCTGGACACTCACGAAGTCAACCCCATCACGGAACTCGTGGAAGAAGGCCACCTCGTGCTCGCCCTCGAAGAGGAAGCACTTGATGCGGCACTGATGGAGAATACACGGGTTGAGAGGGGTGGAAAGGGGTGGAGTGGAGACGGGTGGACACGGGTCGGGTGAAGAATGGAACCTTGTGCTCTCCCTCGGAAAAAAAAAACTTAATACGGCACTGATGGCACACACGGGTATATGCACGAGTATAGAGGGGTGGAGAGGGATGTCAGGGGCAAAGCGTAGAGCTTGTTGGTGACGCCAGTAAAAGTACCATGACGCTATTCTTCATTCGTTTTAAACTAGTACTCGCTGTGCATACAGGCAAATAAGGTGTTACCTGGCAATCGAACGCGCCAGCATAGAACTTGTCTTGTCCGTGACGCCATCATGTACGCTGTCGCCGGTCATTCAATTCATTCATTCGTTCAGTCATACAAATGTTCGCTGTGCATGAAGCTGGTTACCACGTTACCTGGCAATCGAACGCGCCAGCGTAGAGCTTGTCCGTGACGCCATTCATGTAACGAGGCGCCACCACCATCACACGGTGGCCACGTGCCGCCAGAGCCAATGGGAGCGAGCCCGTGACGTCAGCAAGGCCTCCTGTCTTGGAGTAGGGCGCCACTTCGGATGCCACGAAGACAATGCTGATTGGGTGAACGGGGAGAGAGGAGGGAGGATGCGAAAGGCGGTGGGCAGGTGGAGAAGGGGCGTGAGGGGGGGGGGAGGGGGGGGTGGTAAGGGAATGGAGGATGAGGGGCCGGGAGAGAGAAAGAAAGAAGAATGATTTGCTGGGGGTGGGGAAGTGGGGCGGTGGTGCGCGGAAGGGAAGTGCAGCTGAACATGACAATACGGAGATGGGGCTCTGAACAATCTTGTACTTTCGCAAAAAACAAAAACAATCAGACCCGTGCACCAACAATACCCTAATGCGCACGTACCCCAATAACTTCGTAATCGAGCGCATCAACATGGCCCACTTTGCGTTTGTTGCAGACGAACGGGAAGCCCTTGTCGAAGCAACGAGAACTTTAACGACCCAAGCATTCATTGATGCAGAATTCAGACATAATAAGCATAAATAGGTACGTGTTGCTGACGAACGGGAAGCCCTTTCGCGAGTTCCACTACTATAAGCACACGTAAACCTCCTGCACTTTGCCATGAGCCTTTCTGCTCACCTGATGGGGTTCTCAGTCTTCTTGATTGGCCCATCGCTCCCCTCCGCCGTGTGCTTGGCGCTCTCCCTGTCCCTCTCCAGCTCCGCGTTCCGCTGCGACGCCGTCGCTGCGTCGCCCGGCGACTCTGCGACGGCAAGGAGAAGGAGAAAGGACGGCCATGCGAGAAATAATGGAGGGCAACACGAGGGAGCAAGGAACGCAACGGAAGGAAAAAGGCCGGTAATGAGACGGAAGAAGGGCGGCAACGCGGTGGAGGAAGGACATCAATAGAAGTGTTGCAAGGACGACACGCGAGGAGCCTACATTGGAAGAGAACCTGAAAGTTGACTACCATCCAACCTTCGGAAAGAACAAAACATCTCGTCGTGACGTCAGTCTTAAGACGTACTGAAGCGCGATGCCATGCCACCTACCGGCAGATGCGGCGACTGGCATGGTCTTCTCTTCAGCAGGAGCAGCAGGAGATGGAGACGGGGGAGGAGGCGCCACAGCGGGAGCACCAGCCGTCGCAGGCGACGCAGACGACGCAGCGATTACCGCTGCGACGTCTGGCGGCGGAGCAGACGGAGCCACAGCACCCGCTCGCGGCCGAGTGACGTCAACTCCCGCCTTGCGCTCCCCCGCGACTTGGACCGCTTGCGCCGTCGCCGCCGCCGTCGCCTCCTCGACCCTCTTCTTGAGGATCTCATTCTCCTCCGCGATTCGCCTCAGCGTCGCCTCGAGATCTTCAGGATCCGTCGACACAAGGACGTAATCTTCGGGATAATCGTTTGAAACGGTCCACGGGCCCGCATCCTCGTTTTGACCGGACGACGCGGGAGGCTGTGCTGATGCTTTTAGGGAAAAGGGTCTTGAGCTGTGACGGTTGGTTTTGGAGCCGTTAGCGAAGGAAGTGGAGCGAGAGTAGTTGCGCGCGACGTGCGACGGTTTCGCAACGACCGAACGAAGTTGTGACGAGATAGAAACGCTCGCAGCGTTTGCTAATGACGCCATGCTGAGCAGATTCACGGTCGGCACCGATAGAGATAAAGATTTTTCTTATCTCTCAATCAGCAGATACAGTTCGTCGCCAATTAAGTCTTAATGCAGCACCGGCGGCGAAGGAAAGCAAGCCAGCAAACTGAAGAACTGCTTCTCAGAAATGCTACTATACCGCAGAGAACAAAGAAATACAGGACATGGGAATGCTGCTCCCCCTAGACCACCTTGTGAAAATAAAAATCAGATATTGAGTGGGGGAAATGTGAGGACGGAGGGAGGAACGGAAATTCGTGAGGTCAGGGAACTTCCCTAGAGATTTGCGAGGCGCTCTGACTCTGAACTCTGGGAACTGTGCTGCAGAGCAGGCTGAATGCTCCTGCCAAAATCTTGAGCTTATGGCGTGGCGTCCCATTCGCTAATTGCTGTGTGGAGTGGGATTGAAGGAACTCTCGGGATATTTCGTGCGGTGCGCGACGGAAACTTGTGGTCTTGGGACGATCGATAGCCATCGAGTCCTGGAGATCGATCATGCGATGGTTGACACGTCACAAACATCGACACACCTGGCAAGGTAGAAATGTCCACATCAGATGGGCTGGGCACCTGTGGTTCCAATCGTCGCTGAGTTCAAATTCAGGGTGAAACCTGTGGCGAAGACATGGCACATCCACATTTCCAGAATGGCTTTAGGTAACCAGAAATATTCGTAAAATATTCGTAAGGTCAACACATGGTTGCCTGTTTGAAAAAACAGAACATACTAAGACTAGTAAATGAAGAATACAGGGTAACGTTCTGTACAAGATATACCGTAACCTACAGCTGCAGTCTAAGCTCTGGCTCAGAAGTAACTGACCTAGATTGGAACTGCCCAGACTGGTCATCAAGCTGCTGCTTCTGCTGCTCCCAAACTGGCATTTGCTTATTAGCTTGAAGCTCTGCAAGCTCCTTGTTTTTCTGGGCCTGAGCCAGAAGTTGAAATGCCTGTTGCTGGTCCTGTGGTGAAAGCCAGCCCTGTGGAAACCGGTTGTCTGGAGTGCTCTGCTGTGCTGGAGTACTCTGTTGCCGCTGGCTCTCTTGCTGCTGCTGAGCACCGTTTTGAGTCGGCTGCTTCTGCAAAAGAGATGCTTGATGCTGCCGGAGTAGCAATTGCTGCCGCTGTTGCTGCAAACGTTGCTGCTGCTGCTGTTGCTGTTGATGCAGCAGCTGCTGTTGCTGTTCCTGCCTCTGCTGCTGCAATCGCTGCTGCTGCTGCAAAAGCAACAATTGTTTTTGCCTCTGCTGCTGATGCTGCTGCTCAGCTAGCTTCAGTTGCTGCTGCTGCTGACGCTGCTGCTGGAGACTTGGTGGAGACCGTGGATCTAGCTGCTTTGTCATGGCACTCATCATGCTTGACATGTTGGCAAATGAACCAGTTGCGGCAGCCATGCTACCATCAGCAACGGGTAAACCAGCAGATGCAGAGGCAGAAGCATGGTTTGACGCAGCTGCAGCTGCTGCACTGAATGCAGCAGATGAGAACGACGACCCAGCCGAATTGCTGTGAAGGCCATGATGAGCCTTCAGTTTATCCAGGGCAGCCATCATGCTCCGAGCAGCTGATGAAGAACCAGGTCTCAACGAGGATGTTGATGGATTAGTCCCTTGTTGCTGCTGCAGGACGTCAGCAAGTGTTGCGGGCGTAAGAGCATTGAGAGATCCATACGCAGTCGCGTTCGCTGCTTGCTGTTGCTGGGATGAAAATTCAGCAAGCCATGCATTGCCTGGAAGACCACCCGGCCATGATCCTTTTGAGACAGAGGCAGCCAGGGCTTGTGCAGCTTGGTTGGAGGTTGCTACAGCTTGGGCTCCACTGCCATCTCCAACAGAAGCACCCTTGCTTGAATTGAGAGGGCTCCCCAGAAGACCATCAATCTTTCCAGCCTCAAGAGCCGCCCAGAGGGGACTATTTTTCAAGCCATTCTGAGAAAACACTGCATGATGGCCTTCTACCATTTTGTTCAGATGGTCTGCAGCGTTCTTGTCTCCAGGGTCAGACGATGAGGTTGAACCAGCTCTTACTGGGGATGACAACCCACCAAGCCGATGCAGCGAATTCAGACCCTGCTTCCCAAAAGCAGCTGCAGTGATTGCAGGAGCACCAGGTGATGAGGTGGACGCATTCTGAGACCACAGGGCATTCAAAGCTCCCATAAGGGCCGAACCAAGGGGCTTTGTGGGAGTTTCGACATCAGCAGAGCCTTGAGGTGCATGCATGAGCGACTGCAGAGCCTGAGCAGAGAGGACTGACTGGCCTTGTCTGGCAGAGTTCGCAGCCTGCAGAGCAGCAACAGCTGAAGCACGCATTGCCAAAACGCTGCTGCGATCAACGTGATCAGCAGCACCTGCACATGAATTCAGCAGCGTCTGGATCGCTGCATTGCTCAGACTAAGAGACCCAGCTTCAGAGGGGCTTCCTGTAGAAACCCCACGCGGCCCGCTTAAGGCCTCCTGTGCAGATATCGGTGAAACTACAGCTGCTGTAGGTGGAGGCGAAGAGAATCCTGCTCCAGGTCTGCTTGCACCGTTAAACCAGTGTGGCATGTGGAGCATGCCTGACGATCGGTCAATGTCTTTGGGCCCATGGACAGACTCCGAGGTTGAAGACACAGGAGCCCCATCGCTAACGGATTTTGAGTGGGCGGTCTCAATGGGAGCTGCCGCAGCTGCCTCAGAACAAACCTGCAACTTAGTCAGTGATCCAGGATGTGGAGAGGCAGACTTCCTCAGACCTTTGGCGGGCCTTGCAGAAGTCTTAGCTGCTGTCCTCACAGGTTGCTTCGAGGCTTGCTTTACATCATCCACAGAAACGTCAGGGACCCCCTCCTTCTGGCCCTTCAACACCCTCCTTGCCGACTCGCCCTCATGATTCAATGACTGCAATGACTGCAAGGGGTCATCCAGGCCAATCCATCCTCTACCAAAAGGAACTTCCGAAGGAAGGGTCTGCTTGACTTTCTCTGCAGCGACTTCCCAAACCAACGAGCCAAGGGGCGACGCAAATCGCGCTAAGCTGTGGGCGTAAGCGAGAGGGTCTTGATCAGCCTGCAAATATGGAAACAGCAATCGATCAATTTCAACAGGCTATTTAGTGAAAACGACAACTGAGAGCGAATTCAAAGTTCTTACAGAGTAGCACAGGGCGAAGCTCTCGGGCACTGCACTTCTGCTCGTCTGACAAGACCTTGACTGTCTCCAGGAGCGGAAGGATAGGTGCTTCCCGCCACTTGGGGATGTTGCTCTGCGGCAGACCTTGTAGTTCTTCAACCGGGACACTGGAAAAGCAAGTCAGGAAAGCGTTAGCAGCATAAATTGAACAGCCCCAGAATTCAACAGGAAATAGCAACTCCAACTGACCTTTGTTACCAGAATCATCGCCTCCTAGGTAACTTGATTTCGGTTGGCTCTGGCTATTCAATAGCTCCCCTTTCTCCATGCCTTTCCCCAATATCCTCTGTGCAGGCTTAGTCTGCGCAATGTCCTCTGACAGTGATACCTCCGATCGTTCATCCATCCCAAACACCAGACGATCTTGCTTGTCATCCACCAACGGAACGGCATCCTTTCTCTGGCCCAAAAATCTACGACCTTCAAGGGGAAAACAAACAGACGTCAGCAGACAGCCTGAAAGGAAGATGAAGCTGTAAATTGTAGTTAGCTTACCGGACTGAGTGTCCTTCTGCGCAGGATCAGATAGAGGAATCCTTTTAGGACGACCGGGTTGACCTCTTCCCCTTCCACGACCTCGAAATCCCCTTCCAAATCCAGATCTTGGGTAAATCTCGTTGGAACCTGCTGCTGGAAAAATCTTCTGAGCCATTCCTTGCATAGCTTTAGCCTGCTTGTAATAAATGGTCCCCTCGGCGTTATAGATCATGGCATTCTTCCAGATCAAGGACACGTCATCCTGAAAGAAGGAAACACGAGACGGTGAATACATGCAACCATACGACCTCACCAAAAAGTCGCCTATCCAACAACAATGAAACTACGGGACCTATACACAAGTACCTCGAATTGGCGCCATGACGTATAAAGTTTCTTTGCGACCCTTCCCCTCACGGTGCTGAAATCCATGGGGTGAGAAATGACGTCAAAATAGTCCGGAACCTGTTTGGGAGGAAAACGATCCGTAGTGTAAAAAAAAAAACATGATATCAGTAAAGAAAAGAGCAAAACAAATGAGGAAAATGACAGAATAAAACAGACTGATATTGTACCTCAGCAGGATTCACTGGAACAGAGAACACCCCATACAAGTCCTTCCTGCAACAAAAGAGCGACGTGGGGTTCCATAAGACACAAGAAAACAAAGGGCCTCGTCGTTCCTAATGAAGCAGAACCGTCAACTGGACTGTCGCAGAACCACTCACTTTTGCAGTTTGTCCAGAATCTCACAAAGCGCTTTCTCTGGCAGCGGATTTTTTCCATCTGGATTCACAAGTGAAAACTCCAGAAGTCAGCAAAAAAACTACCAAAAAAACGCACAGAAGCATGCTGCAACTGAACATTGAATTACCTTTGAGTGGTAAGGAGGATCTATTTTCATTGCCTGAAATTGTCTGCTCCGCCGGTCTCGAGTCCGTTATTCCGCTGTCGGATAGCTGCATTTATCACGAAATTCCATCAACACCCGAACACGCACAAGGAAGAAGGCTCAGAATCTAATAAAGTGAAGCTGACCTGTCGCTTTCGCTTCGACGAAAAAATTGGATGCGCTACCGTTTCATCAGCAGGTGGTGATGCCCCTTTTGAATCGGGTTTTGGCGGTGACGGGATTACTATACTATGCTCTTCGCTTATAGCCTTCGTTCGTTGTCTCTTAGGATTGGGGACTGAGGGGTCTGTTGAAGTCTCCTGCGCCTTCCAAGTCCGAGACGGAGAGGCCTCCAAGGAAGATCGCTTGTGTATTTTCAAAACAACTCGAAGATTGTTGTCATCCATGGTCGATTAAGATGTCGCATATATGACGCCGATGTACTGCCCAAAAACACCACATGCGTGCATGTAACCCAAAGATAGGATCAACGGGAGTTGTTGACACAATACACATCGTTTCCATGGCGACCAACTAGCATGAGGAACCCTAAAAACTCGTATATCTGGCTGGAAAATCGGATGCGCCCTTGGAAGTGGAGGACAATGCACGGATCACCGAAACGCCCAGAACTCGGTATCTTATAAGAACGGAAACAAGCCGCACGTCCAAACGACTTTCGACGGCTCCCTATCCAGGACGACCCACAAAGAAGAGACCAGACAAGGACGACAGACTGCATGGCATAGTCAAAGGTACAGCGGATAGGGCTATGGTGGGGTGGTGGTGTGCGTACCAGGCGTGATTCGCGCCAACGCTGGGGAGGGGAGATGGGGAGGAACGGACGGACGGAGGGACACTGGTTGAGGGTAAAGGGACGCTGGCTCGTAAAGTTCCACTTGGGTGGGTCTTGGAGTCCCAAGTTTGGTGAGGTCGAAACCCTAGCTGGTTCGTTTTCTCTGCCCGCGATTCGTTACAGTGTTTTGACGTCCGTCGAGGGATGCGGCGGAAACAGTTCCCAGACGTCAGCTTGGATGGTTGGTGTGTGAGGTGTCCTGTGAATCCTCCCACATGCAGCCACCCATTGTCAGAGACATGTGTACAAAAGTTAGTGGATGCGTAATCAGAATGTCCAATCACAAAGTCATGACCCCACGTCCCGTTGGGCAAGCATCGCTGGAAAGTGGGAAACCCTAGACAGATACAGCAACCCAAAAACTTCATCCTCATAACCCCTAGCGACCGAAGGCATGTTTCTGTTTGGCTCTGCTGCTGGGATAACATTTCTGTGCTGCCCAGCCAGCTTTCCCATCTTGGCACTTATTCCGTCTGCTGCCCCCTCATCCAACCTCATTCACCTCCACTCGTCCCTTCACTGTGGGTGCGGTTGGTCAGCCAGTTCCGTTTTCCGTTCTGACCTAAACGCTAACGCTCCAGCAGTGACTGACGGACGGAAGCGACTGACTGCTTGGTTGCGTGCTACGGTCACCAGTCGCTATCTTCGAACGAACCAGCCAATAGCCAAGCCTGTTTGGAATCGTGTCGCCTGGCTGCAACCCGAGTCGCTCGCTGTTCAGAAACCAGCCAGCACCCTTTCCGAGAATGTGGAGCACGTGCATAAATGTTTTTCGACACTACCTAGGTTGTTTTTGTGTGGTTCACAATTACTAACTTTCGACATCCTGTGTTTTCAAGCTGTAAATAACTAACTTCTACCTAGCCATTTCGCGTGTCTTATGATTCTCCCAGGCTGCTCGGGCTCACAACGTATTGACAAAATAGGTTGGCGTCAGCTGCCATGGGTTGCTCATTTTCAAAGCCCGCGGTAAAAGGCGATTCTAGCAAGAAGCAGGTCAAGCGGTCTACGTCCTCGAAGAAACCGAAACCGCTCCCAGTTGCGATACCTTCCGACACGTCTGGCTGCTTCAGCCTGCCAATTCACCTTGCACCGAAATTGCAAGCGAAGCCAGGGGAAAAGCCACGAATACGAGCAGACATAACTTCTCAGTGCTTGTGCTCAGGCGCAGAAGCCTTGAAGGTAGACGAAAACGATGTTACCGAGGAGCAGGAGGCCAATGATAAGGCCAGTCACGAGGCTAAGGAGAAGACGAATGAGAAGCCATCGTCAGCCAGCGTGACGGCAGCTGTGGACGATTTAGCCTTAGAATCGGCAGCGGACCAGTCCACTGAAGCAGATGCGTGCGACGCCACTGTCTCCGTGGCTATACTATCCACGGCGCAGGAATGCGGACACAGTACAGCCAACGCAGCGGAATCAGAAACTGGCAAATTTGCTCCCTCTGCTGCTGAATTGCGAGCTCCATCGGCTCTGTGTCCCAATCACGATAAAGTGGAAAGTTCAGTACCGGTGGTGAATTCTCACGACGTCAATGGTGAAGCTGAGCCTAGAGAAGGCTCGCAATGCCAAACGAGCGAGGCGGTCATTGAGGGAAACGGAACGACGAGTTCAGAATCACTTGGTGAGGCAAATTTGGCCTCACGTGAGGCAGATGCGGCGGCACCGGAAGCAGATTCGGCTGGACGGGAGTCAGATACAGCCGCACGTGAGCCGTTTAAGAAGCACAGAAAGTTGAGCGTTGAGCTGCCTCCTCTGGTGACGGACGAGGATGTGATGCCGGACGGAAATGACGTTGCTGAGCTGATTGACGTGCAGACGATCATGATGGACCTGGAGGATGAGGACGAGGAGGAGGAAGAGGACGGGGAAGAGGAGGAGGAAGAGGAGGAAAAGCACCAGCAGCTGCAGTCGCAGCAGCAGGCGCAGAATCTGCAGCAGCACGAGGAGCAGGAGGAGCAGCAACAAGAACTGGAGGAGCAAACAGATCAACTCGAATACAGGACTGACGAGGCATCGGAGGCTGAGCAGGGAAATGCTCAACAGAGAAAACCTTCAGGTGCTGCTCAGTCTGGGGATCATCCTTCACTGACGGCGACTGACCCCTACGCTGGCGCTTCCGAAGTCGAAGCTACGAGCAGGTCCACATCTGTAGACCGTGGTGCTTCTAGTGTGGCCGAGGGAGCGGTAACGAGTGTACATTCCAGGAGAATTGACGATAAGGAGGTGGAGGACGTGTTGAGAATGCTGGAGGAGGAGGCCGGAGTCATAGCAGCGGATGCGCCGGCTGGTGGTGAGCTTGACAATGCAGACAGGGTTGTCGGAACTGAACGTACTGACAAACCTGACAGGGTTGTGGAAACTAACTCTCGTGAGACGGTTGAGGTTGAGACTGTGAGTACGGGCTTGGCTGTCCAACCAGAGCATGTGGGACCAACGGAGAGCAAAGTGGGGGAGTTGGGGAGCAGTGGGCAGGCAGAGGAGGGGAGAGACAACAGCAAAGAGCCGGCAGGAGTGGGGGAATGGGGAGGGCTTGACTCCATGTTTGACCCGGATGTGCTGGCAAGCTTCGAAGAGGACTTGAGGAGGGAGTGGGAGTACAGGGTCTCCCTGGCGGAGCTGGTGGAGCAGGAGGAGGAGGAGCTGGACAGAGAGGCGCGGCAGCAGCAGGCGGATGCGAAAGAGGTGCAGAATGAGCAGCCGGACCAGGAGCCACGGTCACGACAGTGTGACCGGGAAGAGCAGCATGAGCTGGTGAAGGGAGGCTTGCAGGATACGAAAAGGGAGGGGTTGAATGATGAGGTAGGGGAGCAAGAGCGTATGCAGCAGAGGAAGGACAAACAGGAGCAGGAGCAGCAGCAGGAGGAGCGACAGCTGGGGTCAGCGAGAAGAAATCCTGCAGTTGGGTTTCCAAAGAGGACTATATCAGGCATGAGCGTGACTTCAGACGGAGGTATCATCATCGATGGGTTTGAGGACTTTCTTATGGAGGCAGATGAAGAAGAGGCGGCTTTCCTGCAACAGCAGCAGGGTGGTTTTAAACCGGACAACGATCAAGCTCGAGCACAGGTCCATCAATCTCCCAGGGTGGGAAGCGAAACAGACGATGGGTTGGGATGGGTGGGTGATACGCAGGAAGTGGGATTTGATGAGAATTCTCTGTTTGATCCGGAGCTCCTTGCCACCATGGAGGCAGTTTTCCACGGGCATGATCCCGCTGACTGGCGCCGCGTCACCCCTTTGTCCAGCCCCATGCTCCAAGGACCCAACTCTCCCGCACCCAATTCCCCTGCGCCCAACTCGCCTGGAGCTTCCCTCTTTGCTCCTGGCTCGCCTGCCGCTGCAGTCGACGCCATGGCTGCCGCTGTGGGGAGAATGCGAATTCCTGCTCGGGCAGGGCAGAGTCCTCGGCGGGGCAAGCCGCCGTTGCAGAGTCCGAGGGCTCGGCTGACCAGCCCTCGGCCCCAGGCTCCTAGCCCACGCAGGTCGTTCAGCAGCATGAGTCCTCGCAGGGGGGTGATGGGTGAAACCGCGCGCAGGGTATCAACGGGTGAGATTCCTCATGGTGCTGTGGGGAGGGACGGGCAAAGGGCGGGGAGTGTTGGAGGTTCGGGCCGGGGCTGGTTGACTCCAGGGCTAGTGAAGTCCGGGAGTGGAGGTGTGGTGGGCTTGGTCAGTATGGTGAGTGTTGAAGGGGGTAGAACAGAAGTATTTGGGCGTGGTTTGCAAGGGGAGGGAGAAAACGACACAGGCGGTTCGGGCAGGGTGATCGATGGTGTGACTCAGACTGTAACCCTGGCTGGGATGGATGGTCCAGTAGACTCAGGTGTCGTTGAGAGAGTCGATGCAAGCCAAGGCAGCGTTTCTAGGGGCCATGAGCCGAGTGCTGGGTGCTCTGCTGAGGCTGGATCCAGAGCTGAGGGACCAGGAGCTGAAGCAGCTGATGTGGCAATAACTGGCACAGGCGATAGAGATGTGGCTTCGTCTTCGGTGGAAAGGGGCCGCTTGACACAATCTGGAGGCTCTGGGGTGGTGGCTGAAGCTGATACTGTGTGTGCTGTTATGAAGGCGCCTAACGGGAGTGGGAGGATGTTGCTCGAGAGCTTTCCAGTGAATTGCCCACTGGGAGGGGATGGCAAGGTGGTTTTGTACATGACAACGCTGAGGGCAGTGAGCCAAACTTTTGAAGATTGTATGCAAGTGCGACTCGTTCTCAGGGTGAGTAACAACATGCTCTTTTGTTTTCTCCTCGCTTTCCCTTTCTTTCTAATACCACACTCTTTCCCCGTCGTTCTTCCCCCATTGCTGCAGGCTCTTGGAGTCATGTTTGAGGAACGAGATGTGTCCATGCGGGTTCACTTCCGTCAGGAGTTGAAAACCCTTATGGGAAGCGCATCCTTGTCAGTACCGCATCTCTTTGTCCGTGGCCGCTATATCGGAGGAGCTAATGATGTTCAGCAGCTTCATGATCAAGGCCTCCTTGTATCAATCCTAGAAGGACTCCCAATCAACATGTCACCTAGAGGCAGGTCTGCAAGTAGACACTAGGTTGTGTTTGCCTCCTGTTAGCAAAATATTGGCTGGTTGCAGCCACTAAGTGTGCATATCATTCACCCTTTTTGTGGGAGGATACGAAAATATATCTCACATATATTAAAAACCCATATAGAAGCCTCTGCACCGCCCATCCCTAGATGGTTGTCAGAAACTCGACTCTTGAATTTTGCCGCCATTTTCATTTCAGCCGATGCGACCGACTGTGCCAGTTCCCCCTCTCTGTCGCCATTCCCTCCGTCTGACCTCTTGGAGAAGTCACGGTTGCATCCGCCAACGCAAATTCCCCTCTAACAGAGTCTGTCGGACTCACTGAACTCCGCGCTGCAACCAATAAGCGCTCTGATCATACAAATTTCAATCCCAATGGTGCAATCCATCGGTGCCTGGCCCCCGTTTTCCAGCTAGCCGTTGAAGAATCTGTCCGGACAAACCTTTGACAGTGAATGTGAATGGGACACAATATGCCACCAGAGGTTCCGCCCAGGCAGGCGTGATCCTGCTGCTGTAACTTGGTCCTTGCGCCTCGGCCAAACTGTCGCTCTTAGCTGCAGCATTAGTACTCCACAAGAGGGCAGGACAGTGCCCTCTACTGACGGTTCTTAGGTGAACTGAGGCCCATACTTGGCACATTGCAATCTGGTGCTTGTTCCTTCGAGCATGGTTTCTGCTATCGCGCAGACGAATGCATAGTTGCAGATTATATCAGCAAAGCTGGATTCCCCCGACATGAACGCGAGAGATGGTGTTGGTTCGCTCAATCATAGAGCGGTTGGCACCACAGAGCGAGACCTTGGAACGGACGCCTACGACGATATTCCAACCTCGTTATTAGAAATCCTAAGCTTACGGTGGCGAATGTTCCTTATGTTCCCTGGTAGCTGGCTGGGTATTAGTGAGACTCCTCTTCTGCATCTTAAGAAACAGCTGTCGGAGATGTCTGAGCACTCACCGCTTTATCCTAAGCGGCTGTCATTCACACACGATATGTCACAGAGCCCACGAAGCATCAGTCAATGGATGAGCTCGCCGTCGAATCAGTCGCTTTTATGGGCTATCCTCGTTAGCTTCCTTCTCTTCTCCATCGCCTTCATTGTATTCCATCCCCATCCCGATGCTGACAAGCTGTCTCGCGAGCCGAGAACCATCGAAATTATGGTATGGATACCATCTTATGCCATGTCTTCTCTACCTCACGACACGTTGTTGATGGGTATGGTTGCTAACTTGCTCTTATCTTCTTATTACAGAACGTGGACCTTTCATCAAACAGGAAATTTCGTGCCGCTCGCATAAGCTATGATGCTTCACAGGTGAGAGAAGTCAGTGGACCAACGTGCCTTTTTTTCGCGTACCAAGTGTTTGTGGTGTTAAGTCCGTCCTTCTCAACTTCGTACACCATTGAATGTCCCGTGTACAGGCATGGACTATTGTAGAAGGTCAGCTAACGGCCATTCTTGAAGAACACTCCCCTGACGATGACCCTGTGGCCTTAGAGGCTCAACAGTTTCAAGCTATCGCCAGTATGACGGAAGAATGAAGACGGAAGGAGAAACAAAATGGGGGGACGATGATTTTGTAGCCTTGACTGCGTGCGGCCTGAACTAATTAGCTGTCAGTGCTCCTGACATGCACTGTCTGACACCTTGGAAACTGTATGGTCACACTAAGAATGACCATCTGTTGTGCTCACTTCTTGCCGTGTGCTCCACTTAGAGCCACTGTGATGTCCATTGTTATAAGCACCTGACCATGCTGCATTGGTCTTCTCCTGTCAGTCTGTCAAATGTTGTAGCCTGTAGTGAGGTTTGTCTTAGGGGGTACAGAAGTTAGGGTTTGTCATATGTACCCCAACCAACATCAATGCAACACTCATTCCTCATTCTGACATGGTATCAGAGCAACTAACTGCTCAGCAGACATGCCCCACAGAGCGGAGCCGTAGCGCTGAACCAGAGGAAGCCAGTCAGGAGCAGGACCGCCAACCCCGTAGGTCAACCGGACCGTGTCAGTGAGCTGAGCAAAGCACTGACCAGGGGGGTGAAAGCGGCCACAAGGGTGGCCCCGACGAGGACCTGTCTGAACCTGGTAGGGGCAGGGAGGGTAAGCAGCACCGCGCTGGGGCTGACGCAGCCCCGACCCCGGAGCCAGCTGCTGACGCTGCTGCTGCTGAGGCTGCTGGGAGGAAAGGGGCTGCTGCTGCTGCTGAAGGTGCTGCTGACGCTGAGCCTGGTACCACGCCGCTGCTCCACCTAGCGGGGCCGACAGTACAGGAGGCGACTGACGAGCTCGAGGGTCGCTGCCACCAGCAGGTGCAGTGGAGTCACCGGCCGCTGCACGAGGGGTCTCTCCAGACGCTGCACTCCCACCACCGCCAGTCGCAACAGCACCCCCACTACCTCCGCTACCTCCGCCTCCACCTCCACCGGAACCACCTTTCTTGCCCCCCCTGCCGCGGGACCGCGACGCAGTCGTAACAGCAGCCGCAGTCGCGTCAGTAGCGGCAGTGGCAAGAGAGGCAGTGAAGGTGGGTAACTGCGGGACTGTGCACCCGTGGAAGAGTGGGGGGGATACAGTACCAGAGGCGGCAGCTACCGAACGAAGGTTGCTCTCGACATCCTTGAGTGCAGACTCAAGGACCTCGATAGTCAGCTCACTAGGGTGCTTCAGCAGAAGCGCGTCACGAACGGAGGCAAGGCGGTCAGGGAGGCTAGTGGCGATGAAATAGACAGTAATCGCCATGGGGGGAGGAAGCACTGCAAGCTGTGCCTCAGTGCAAGCAGCGCGGTAACTAGCGTCGAGCGAGCGGAGGTGAGCGATCAAGTCAGCAGAGCGCTCAAACGAGGCAAGATCAGGAAACAGGAACGGGAGGAAAAGACGGCCGAGAGAGACAGTAGCGGGAGTAGAGTAGCGGGCCTTAATCGCAGTGAGGTACGCAGCAGCGGTGCGAACCTGAGTAAAGTGGACCTCCTCGGACTCAGGGAGGAGGCTGCTGAGTGCGATGCGGCGGTGCCTGTGTTCGACCCATTTCCGTCAGTTATGGGAGCTGCTCGTTCTATCTCCGTTTCACATGGCTTGCTGTCATGCAGCTTGGCATCAATGTGATTGCAGTGGTGATGGGATATGATACCTACCGGTAGTTTATCACCATGCTGGCGGTCCCTGCATGACAGACAAGAGTGAAAGCCCCAGACCCCTTGATTTAATAACCGTACAGGGTAGACCCACCACAGCAAATGGTACGGTACTTGGGATATTTCTAGTGAATGTGGGGCCATGGTATATCAAAAACCAAACCAGGAAATGGCACGGAGGGAAGCACTACGAGCTCTTCGCCCTGACTCTAAAACAAGTGATTCACGATGCAATCTTATGGCCTGAGGATGTGTTCACACAAAAGCCCGAACTCCTTACAGGGCTGCACAACTTCGCTTGTGCCCATGCTGTTATTTCCCTGGCCTGGTCAGACTTGGTCCACAACACAAGTACCGTGAGGTACAACTTAGAGATTATCCAGACCAGAACATTGGAGAAACGTAAGCTGCCTGTGCAAACACCAACTTTACGCCACTCAGATGGCACAGCATGCGGCTTGAGTTAAATCAACCCTCAAGATATGAACAAGCTACACTTCCACAGTTGGCTCTATATTGGTTGGGGATGATCACTTCTCGATCAATCAGATGGCAACACTAGTCGTAGTTGTTGCGATCAGAAGTTGATCGTAGCCAGGATCACCTCAGGAAGGTTCGCACACTACTGATTTGGTGGCGGTGGGCCCTTGACCTCAATAGCAGAGTGAATATAAAATCCTTGAGATAATTAAGGACGTATTCTTACAGCCTCCTATCAAGGCCACCTCCTGTCAAGATTGTACCTTTTGCCTGGTGAAAGTAGCGAGAGATTTCGGGTTTAGGGAATTTTTCAGTGTGAGCTTGATAAGAGGTTAGCTTGATAGGAGGATAGCAGGCCCTCATATATCAGCGTAAAACACGCTGATTAGGCTGATTTTGTAGCTGTGATTTTCGTTTTCCCTGAAATTTCAGTATCTTCTTTATATTTGCACTGATTTTCCAGTTTGAAGTATAGGACTACCCTGACGAATTAGTGTATAGGTGTACCAGTGACACTGAACCATCAGATAGTGTACTGAGTCACACTGATTCGGACTTACCAAAATGCATAGGGTACAAGACATGGAGTGCGCGGACGTGGGATTAGGCCGAAAATCACAGCCACGCACTAGTAAACCTCTCACTCACGACTTGAACCCGCGATCTCTCTAACAACAGGACGAAGCCTCAGACAGCTGCGTTAAAATACTGATTACAGAGTTTAAACTTAATTCCTACACTAATAAATCAGTTAACCATTAAATTTTACCTTGACAAAATCAGCATAAACTTCACCCCCAACGCTGATTTGGTAACTACCGTACTTTGGGCAGGGCACGCTGATCCATCAGCATGCCCTGAAACCAATCTGAGGGCCTGGAGGATAGGAATACGCCCTAAGACATGCAAGTACGGAGTACAGGGGAATACCAATCGACCTAGTTAGCCATGTAATCTAAAGGGTACATTCTGTCAGAATCCTAGCCACTAGACCACTGGGATAAAAGGGCTTATTTGTATAGCGGGTGAGTGCGCCCATAACCCCCCAAGTCGACGTGCCTGTTGTTGGAAACAATAAGTCCTAAGTGCGCTTCTGTCGTACCAAGACCCAAGGCACCAAGCGAAGCAGTCCCAATCGAAGCATCGAGTCAACCTCGGAGGTTAGGGTAACCGCCTGGAGGTTACGAGAAAGTCAAAGGTCGCTGACCTTTGACTCGACAATTACAGCGCGACAGTTAAGGACACACAACTGACTCGTTACAGAGCAGTTGCCCGAGTCGCACTGTATCGAACCGCAACAGCAATACAGTTATCTATCTATCTATTCGTATTCCCTGTACTCTTATATAAATCCTTGTATTTGCTTGTTCAATTTAATCTACTTTGCTCTCACACACCAGTGCAAGGTCGGTTCACAATCCTCATTAAAACGCTTCCGCTATTACAAGTTTCTACCCAAGAGTTCTCCTCTGCAAAGATCCTAAGGGCTATTTCTCAGCCCAACATGGTATGAGAGCTGACAGAGGAAAACTCTAACCTTTTGATCATTACAAGACATGGCAACAAACAAGGAAAGGAGCTCCCCTAATGGCTCCTCGGGCACTACTCCTACTCCACCGCCAGCCTCTGGCCTGCAGACAGAGGAAGGCACGGCAGCAAGACCAAGGGGAACGTCAACCGAGACCCCCACGAACCATCCTTCTGACTTCGACCAGAGCATGATGGAGAAATTTTTCTCCTTCATGTCCTTCTACGAGCAACACCAGCAGTCGGGACCTGCACAGACACACAACAGCAACAACGAAGCGACACCCATGAGCCTTGACGGGTCGTCATATGCACGAGGGAATCAACAGCAGCAACCCACCTTCGCCCCGTACGAACGCGGGTCGATCAGCTTCCTGCCTCAACCTCCACCTGCGCAAGACAAACCAATGGATGCCTTACAAGTACAGTCGCAGTTCGCGCATGTTCTGAAACTACAGACGTCAAGACCTTTCGACGGAAAGGACTTCTTTACCTGGTCCTTTGAATTCGAGTTGATGAGGGAGGGCGCGCAGATACTCGGCTTCTTCGACGGATCCATGCAGTATCCAGCAAACGGGACACAGTATGAAAAGCAGCAGTATACGTATCAATCGATGATGGCGTATACTATTCTACTGAGAAACATCACACCAACCCAGCAGCAAAACATTCGCTCTTACCGGAACTTCGGCAACTCGGCGGAACTCGCGTACGGCCATCTGAAGAACCTGTACCAGGCAACAGACAGTGTAAACCAGAGCAGGTTAATGGCGCAGCTGACAACAGTTGAAATGAAACCAGGAGAAAAAGGGTTGGCGTATATCAGCCGATGTCGCGAACTGCGCGACAAGCTTCTTCGGTGTGGAGGGTCAATCTCTGAAGACGCCTTCGTAACAGTCGTCATCGGCGGCCTCGGTCCTCAGTGGCGCGCCACCAAAGCAATTCTTGGAGCACACGGGAGGATCTCCGAAGCGGCACTTTGCGCAGAAATTCACGCCGAGCAGCAGGATATGGACCTGCAAGAAGAAAGACACAAGAAAAGGACATTAGCACCGGAGTTTGCTTTCCATACTCAGCGACGACACAACTACTACAACAATCGACAGCAGCAGCCGAAGTTAGTACCTCCATTTTGTCACATCTGCAAGACATCAGGACACCCACGCACGCACTGCCCGTCTCGACAGACAACACCAAAGCGACAACTGCGGCCTTCAAGCACCCAAGTTGCTTCGACACAAGCAAGCTCGACAACCACGATTCAAGCTTCAACGACCTCAACTGGACAACCTGCACAAGGAGCAAGACATATAGTCAACTGCATGGTCAAGATAAACGACTCTTGCACAACAGAGTCACCACCCCATTACTCACCGGAAGAGGAGCTCGACAACAGGAC